TTTTCTCAAAAAATAAATATATATTGCTTACGAACATGAATAGTTTAACATATATATTGACTTCATTGACTCTAACTTATAAACTTATTTTGTTTACGTCATTACGTGTACATGTACAAGGATAACCATACATATGATATAACCATACATATGATATGCTGGAAAAAAAAAAAACCATACATATGATATAACCAAACATTTTGCATGCGCGAATGTTAAGAACATGTACATTAGACAAACTCATAGAAAGGTTGTTAATATTATTATAATAATTTTTTTGAGTAATGAAAAGTCAATAATTTTTTGAGTTACTTTCGTTGGGGAAGGAAATGTGTCAGGAGAGAGAATTTTTTTTGACTCCACCAATAAACATCTGCCACGCGCTAAAAAATGTATGGATCAGTCCTTAAAATCTTTGTAGAAGGATCGATCCAAAAACTTTTGGGCTTTTATTAAATTTTTAAATCCATAAAAAATTTAAAAGATCTATGTAAGGATTCTCAAACGACATAGTTTAATTCTTAAAGAGGTTCTTAGTTTTTTTTTGTTTAATATGTTTTGTTTAGAAAATAAATTCTATTTACAATAAAATAGTTATTAATTTTTTTTAAGAACTTTTAATGAAGTTCTACCATTGAAACAAAGAAAACAAATGTTTTTTAACAAGGGTTTTTAATATCTATTTTATAATTAAATATTAACCAGAGGTTCTTGCATTGAACATGTTCTAATTTAATATACATAAATAAAATGCTTAACTGATGTTATGTTAAACGCGTGGACCCTTGAGCCAGCCAATTGGATCCATGAGCCATTTGACTTTTCTCGTTTATCATCCAATCCAGGTTTTAAGAACAAATTAAAGGTGTTTTTAGCAAAATCGCTGAGTTAGAAAAGAGAGAGAATGGTCGGTCACAAAAGGTTATTTTATAGCCAAAAAAAAAAAAGGTGTTTGAATCTTTATACATGGTCAGAAAGGGATGTAGCGCAGCGTGGTTACGCGTTTGTTTTGTGTACAAAAGTCACGAGTTATGGGTGAGAAGTCAATTTCTGAGAAAGTGCTATACTGAACAATTTACCGCAATAAATAATGTTTTGCTATACGCCTCTACCAATTTTTTTAGTAGTATTTCGAAGACAAGACTGGAAGAATTAGTAGTATAAAGAGAGAACGGTGGTCATAACTCCCACAAGTCAGAACCACATATCTCAATTCTCATCCCATTTTCAACTTTCTAAACCCTAAACCAAAAACAATGTCTCGAGCTATGATTCTCCTCTTTATCTTGTTTATCCTCAGCTCTCCAGGATCCATCCCCGTTGCGTCTAAATTAATCCAAAACTACCCAAGTCCGACCAATGAAAATCCTACGCAGCCACGACAGGATGATAAACCGATAGTCCCAACGATGCCCGCTGCTCAGTCTCGAACCAACCCGCCTCTACCGACTCAGAGCAACAACACGGCTCGCTTAAATCACATCCACCCAACAATTCCGTCGAGGAGGGTCACTCAGGGAGCTACGAGCCAGCCCGAACCAGCAGTTCAACTACTAGTGACCGAGCCAGCTCCGTCTCCACCGGAACTTCTTTCTGCTCGCACAAACCAGGCAGGACACCACAACAACAACATGTTCTCGCCGGCAAATCATCAAAGAGACACGGCGCGTCCTTCCTCTTCGGCTCGGGCTCACCCAACCACCTCGTATACCCCATTTCTGACGGTCCCTCAAAATTTTCAGCCACCAGTTCCATCTCATCCGGTCAACAACCCATGGTGGTATCAGCTAAGCCCGTTCCTTGCAAGCCAAGGCAATGAGATTGCACCAAATGAATATCTCAGGATGGACCAACTCAGCTTATGCGTGATAAATTACTTCTTGACGGGAGGACTGAGCAACACTGCGTCGTGGGCTCAACGGCCAAGCCTTAGCACCAGCATACATATTCAGTGTTTTCTCAACCAGACGGCCTTTTCACTCTTTGCCCTGGCTCACCTCGTTTTCCCCCGCACGAGGCCACGCTTGGCCTTTATCATCGATCGCCTCTCCTTTTTACTCATCGTCGTCTCCGGTTACTTGTCTAACATGCCTATGTTCCCTCCTTACGTCGCCATCATTATGCTTCTTCTTGTTTCTTTCGTCTATGTGTTTTCTCGTTTCAGGGGATAAGTTTGGTTTTGTGTGATACCAACTCTCAGTAGTGGTTTTGTAATATTTTATAGTATAAGACTTAGTCTTTGTATCTTTTTCGTAGTTGGTGAAATTTCCTTTTTTATTTCTAAGAGCGTTGGTGAAATTTTTTTACTGAAAAAATGTTTGAAGGTTGATCCTTAGATTAATGCAAAAAGAGAAAGTAGAAATCAATGAGAAGAAGAAGATGAACAGAGAATTAACAGTTCGTGATTGAAAAAGGAAAGAGGAAGAAAATGACAAGAAGAGAGAATCATGTCTAGAGAAAGAAGATGAGTCATCGACAAGAAGAAGAAGAAAAGTCGACGAAGGGAAAAGAAGAAGTCTAAGAAGAATTATGTTGTGACTAGAGTCACAACTCACAACAAAACTAAATTAAGAAGTAATGAGCCATTAGTTATTTAGTTTGGTTATGAAAATAAGTAAAAAAGTGGAGTGGTTAAGAGTTGTTGAGAGTTGTTAGAGCAACCTCAATAGGAGAGACCTTATAAGTTTCTAGACCTATATTATAATAGTTTTTGAGCTAAAAGTGAGATTAGAAACAGGTTTTAGAGACTTTTTATTTTGGGTTGTGCAATGGGAGAGATTCATATGAGTTTTTTTAAAAAAAAAAAATTGTAACAAAATAAAAAAAAATATTTTGTTATAAATTAAAATTTATTGATTAAAACTTTTCCAAATATGCATTTAAATTAAACAAACTAAACATACAATTTAATATAAATACTCAATTGATTAAAGCTTATGTAATACATTTAAACTAAAACAAGCAAAACATACAATTTAACAAGAAGAGAGTGTGTGTCGTTTCTTTACTTCCTTTGTCTTCTTTGAGATATTTCTAATCCGTGATAAAGCGAGTATTCTTGTGATTTAGCAGGTAAAATATACACAGAGAAATGCATTTCATTAATTTTATTTACAGATTTTCAACTTGTTTATTAAAAAAGACAAAGAGGCGATGAAGTTGGAAATGAGAGGCAATTTTATTACCAGCTAGAGGACCGTTTTGGACAAGATTTGCAGTGATCTGATCTTCGTTGATAGAGACAAGACTGAAGTTGGAAACAGAAGCAACAATCTTAGACTTGTCTAACTTGCAGGTCCTGCCATCAGTGCCGGTGTATGGATAGTCTTCCTCGCATGAGCCCTCCAGTTTTGAGCGTGTACTCAAAGGCGGTGTTCAGTAGCCCACCGTTGCAATCAGAGTCACATGAACCTGCTTGTTCTGGATCACACTACAAAACAAACAGACGTGAATCTTCCAAACAAAGATTGGTGAGCAAAACAACAACACAAATGACCCTGTTGCGAGGAAGTGAGCGCCTTCAAGCACACCTGTAGTGCTGAAACTCCAGCAGGATCCACAAGATCCCTAAATCAATAATTAATGACACACAATCTATTACATTTTGATCAAAGTTTTCATTGAATTCTTCAGGGTAAGAGCATGTGGCATGATCTCCTCATACACCATGTTTTTCTCATCAGTTGTTGCTGTCTCGAGCTTCTGCTGAATAAACCCATGTGCCAAGAATCCATTACACCTCCTGCATAGTTTCTTGTTGCAGAAGGATATTGCATATTAACTTCACCTCGTCTCAGAGGGCTACAACAGTAGTGAGATCAAATGAGCTCATTATTTAACTCTACCATCTCTCAGCGAGAGATCAAATGAGCTCGTCTCAGAGGGCTACACAATCCAAAATTCCTTCCCTATAATCCAAAATCAGGGCTTTAAACAAAGTAAAATATTCACAAATGATTCACAGATTCTATTACCAATCGATATCGTCTTCCAATACCACCGGTAAATTGTACTACAATCCAACCCAAATCAAACAAATCATACAGGCGTTCATCTCTAAACCAAATAGAACCAGAAGATCGAGGAGAGAGATTGGGTTAGGGTTTACAAGGATTACCTGCGACCGCCGTCACGAGGATCCACAAGCTCCGATGCAGATTACTCAGAAGCCGCCGAAAAAAACACAAATCATGTTCTCGTCGATTTCGTGGGAGAAGAGAGCAATTGAGCAAAGTCGCAAATTGAAAACTATCGAAAAAAATGAAAGAAGATGAAGGAAAAAAACAATTTTCTCCCAATTTCTTCAACGAATGAGATATTGCCACGTTTGAGAAGAAACGTTTCCAAAAATCTTCAAAAGTCGCCAAAATAGAAACGTTTCTCTCAAATTAGAAACGCAGCCTCAATATTTAATTATTAGGTTTCTATTAAAAACCAACTAAAACGGCGTTAAAGATGCTCTTAGTGTTTAAATTAAGGTGTTTAACTTTGCTTGTAAAAGTAGTCTAGTATCTAGAGTCAAGGACTAGTGGTAGTAGCTAGTTAATCTACTATAAATATGTATGTGAGTGATGTAGTGATTATTAGGTTCTAAACTACTAGTTCTCAAAATCGGTTTAAGTAGCTAAACCGAATCCATGCCCCAGAAAGAATATGAATTATTTTTTCCGTCTCTAATTCTCTATCATCAATTCATCACTAAGCAATAAAATTTCGAATTTTCAAAATTTTAATTCGCTCAAATAAGTCAACTAACCAAAAATAAATGCATCCTCTCTACAAAATTAAATGGGTCAAACACTCAAAAGACTAATTAAGCAATAAATTTCGTACCATGTATACCGTTTCAATTAAGCTAACCTCAGATTTCTAAAATCTTAATTTCCGTTTCTGTCCCAAAAATTCAAAGTATCTATGATTCGAAATTGATTTAGAATTTATTATGATTGCAATATAAGACCCTTTAGTCTCTCTCTAGTGTTTCCTCGTAGAGTAAATCAATGGCTGGTCGTAGTTCAAACAAGAAGACAATCGAACTCCCTTCTGATTTGGTCATTGAAATTCTCGCGAGGGTTCCAGTTAAGGACCTGGTCCGGTTCAGATGCGTCTGCAAAAGATGGAGACTACTGTTTGGAGCCAAGAACTTCATCAACAAGCAAATGACTTGGGCCCCAAGAAAGCTTCTTGGGTTGCAAGACAATGGAGAGTTTCCTCCTCGTAGCATCCTTTACGAGAAAGGAAACAACGGTAAACCCAAAATGACACTCAAAGAAGCCGATCTAACTTCCGGAGACAAATGTTTGGTCGGCTTAGACGTGATCGGTCATTGCGATGGACTGTTCTGTCTCAGGCTCCAAGACAGAACTTTAGCTGTTTGGAATCCGTTGCTGAGGCAAGTAAGAAAGGTATCATCAAAATCTACAAAGCCAATAACTTCTCATGATTTGATAGGTTTCGGTTATGATCATTCGATTGATGATTACAAGATTGTGATCTTCTCGGCAATGTCTGAAACCATAATGGCTCCAAAATATTGGTCTCGAGGCGAAATCTTCACGGTGAAGTCATCTTCCCGCTGGAGTCTCGATCAATTTCCAGAATCAATCCGTCGTTGTTTTGACATAAGAGGAACTCTTGCAGGCAATAAAATCTTCTGGCAAGTGAATAACGATCCCGACAACGCAGCGGAATACGAAACTATCCTTAGTTTTGATCTATTGTCTGAGAAGTTCGAGTACAAGTCTTTTCCTAGAAATCTTAAAGGATTGATCCGAGGTTTAGTTGCAGTACGAGGAAGTCTAGGGTTTGTGGAAATGTGCATGTTCCAATTCTGGACAAAGATAGTTGTTTGGACCGCAAGCAATGACAAATCTTGGAGCAGGTTGTGCATAGTTAAGGATTTTTTCGATGGCTTTATAGGGTCTCTGAGAAACGACGCCGCTTTACTTGGAACATATAAGGCTAGAAAAGAATGGAAAGTGAAGTATTTGGGACATGAAGCTACGAGCATTTGCGCTTATAACTTCGAGAATCCTAAGAATCCGAAGTTTATTGAGGTCGAGACTAAGTTCAAGTCGTGTTCTATTACTTTATATGATTACGTTGAGACTTTGCTTCCAGTTAAATAACCCCTTCTTTAGATATTGTACTTTCAAGTTTAAATTTTACTTTCTTAGTCCGATTTGATTCTATTTTTGCTTCTTTTCATTGTGTTCAATACATTTCTTAATTATTCAAAGCCAGTCTTTTGATATTCTGTTTACTCGTCCGAAATTTGGACTAATCATACAGCTTTCAGTAATATTAACGTGAATTCTGTACCAACCAAAAAAAGAAGAAGAAAAACACTTTGAATTTTTTAAAAAAGTAGAAGTTACAAAACAGAAATCTGAGACACATACTTCATTTTAAGACTTTTTGAGTTTTTTCTATGCTTCGTGATTCGTCTTGCAAATTTTCCCTATACATAAGGGTAACAGTATAAGAATCAAAGAAGATTAAAGATATGGTTCGAGCTTTCGAGACTCTTTTTTGTCTTCCATGACTCTGTATTTGCTTATGTGTCCCTTCCATGAAGCAAAATCTCTCATTCTCTCTCTCCTCTCTCTCACTCTCCCTTTCTCTCTCTCTCTCTCTGACCTTCCATGTTTGTTTGTGGCTGCGACTGTTCAGTTTCTTTTCAAGTCTTGAGATCATCAGACATAGCAGAAGGTATGCAATGTGTGGTCAGAATATCTAAAGTTGCCTCCTTTGCTGTCTTAGTTTGCAGAACAACAAGCTGTGAAATCGCCAGAGAGTTTTAGCTTACAAGTTTGTCATGATTTATGTATAGAGTGAAGTGAGATCATCAAAAAATATAATACCTGATCATAATCAAGATTAAACTCCATGTATTCATCATCACAATTCTCCACCATCTCAGCCAAACTTTTCAAGTTTTTCACAGGTTTGCCATTGAAAGCAAGAACCTACACAGAGATTAAACACTTAAAGAGTGATTGGATGCATCAATAAAGTGACAAATGATAATGTAGCTTTACAAACCTGGGTATTGACAATATCTTCATAACCAATGTTAATGTCAGAAACTAGAACCTGCAAGTAATATATTGATGTTGAGTCTTTGGACATTAAACAGGAAGAGTAATTCATAATCGCGTAAAGAATTTGGCAAAAGAAATCAACCTGTGAAACTACAACAAGCTGCTCGTCCACGGATTGAGCCATTGCATGAAGATGTTTATCCAAAAGCTTGACAGGTGCATCAAATTCGTATTCTTTTCCATACTGCACAACAAAATATTGGAAAAAGGTTATATAGACTGTATATGAATGCGTGTGGGAGAGAGAGAAAGCAAAAGAGAGAGAGAGAGAGAGAGAGAGAAAGAACCTCAGATCGAAGATATGGAACAGAGACAGTTGTAAAAACAAAGCCAGCAACGATATAGTAAGAGGGAGGTTTGCCACTTATGTGTGCAGGGATTAGCTTCTTGTGGATTGCAAGTTTTATGTTGAACTCGAGTATTTCTTTGTTACGCAGAACCTTCACAAGAGCAGAATCTCCAGTGTACTTTTGAGATATAAGATAACTAAAGCCAATTCGTTCGCCGTGCCTAAATGGAACTGAAAAAAAAACAATGAAGAACTAGAATGTTATAGCCATGGATGTCTACATTCATCAACAAGATAAAAGCTCGCTCATTGGTTCCATAAATGTGAATAAGTAACTAACTGTAAGAAGCATATTACCAGTTCCATCATTAGCAATGTTAACTCCATCAAAGCTGAGGATAATATCGGATGGCTTCAAAACTTGTGATTCAGGGGCCGTTGGCTCAATTCTTCTGATCCGCACACCCTTTTGATGAGATTCCATTCCCATTTTCTTACGCAAGTCTGGATTTTCCATCTTCTGCCATTCAATCCCAATAACAGGAAAACCTATAAAAAAGAGAGTACAAGTTTGAGAAACACAGCACGCGTAGAGATAACAAAACAACAGTGTCATCATCGGTGAGACTCAAGTACGTACCTGTGTACTTATCATGCTTCTCATAATCTTGAATGAAATGTTTAATCACCGGCGTGGGTATGACATAACCAATATTCTCGGCGTCTTCGTGTTTCAAAGACTGAAAAGCAATACCGACACATTTTCCCTTGTCGTTAAATGCAGGACCACCAGAGTTCCCAGAATTAATAGCTGCATCAATCTGAAAAGAAAAATCAGAAACCACTATAAGTGTTTGTACTTTGTAGTCAGAAAATAATGGTAAACACCGTCAAAATGTGATTTTAGAACCTGCAAGCCCAAAAGCTCGGTCGAGCCGTGTACATAAGACAGTATCTCCATACGCGAAACAACACCGCTTGTTACAGAGATTGTATCTCCACCAATTGGATAACCAACAACAGTCACATCATTATGCAAAGCTGGTAAATCTCCAAACTCCACAGGAGATACTCCTTCCCAAAACTCATCATCAGTAACAGTCAACAATGCTGCAATCCAAATAACAATAAAACCCTTACTTTCACATTGATAAACTGTTACTCATTGCAACTCAAACTACAAGAAACGATGCAAGAAACTAGAAGCTAGATTCATACCAATGTCACATTCAGTTCCAATGGCCAAGACTGTAGCTAGATACTTTGTGTCAGAGCCACGTTTCTTGAGCTTGACTTGCGTGTGGTGCTCAACGGAATGTGCATTTGTCAAAACCCTTCTTCCTCCGATAATGAAGCCACTGCTACCGGAGCTATACTGTCGTTTCCTTTGCCACGGCAGCGAGAAATTAGGCTCGGTGTGAACGCAAAAGACTTTCACCACAGCATCCATCGAAGGCGCAACTTTCACCACCGTTTCCCAGCTCGGAGGAGCAGGGATCGATTCCGCTATCGTTGTCGTTGAAACAATAATCCCATTGCTGCAATCGCCGTTCTTCTGGTCAGGGTGATGAGGAAGAGACGACCTCTGGCTGCGGCGTTCGGTGGTTTCAGATTGGTTGTTCAATCGGCGCTTCTTGCCTCTCCCGCGGTTGCGTCGCGACGGAGATGGGTTGGTTTCGGAAGCCGAAACAGGCTCAGGGGATTGAGGCGACGCCGATTCGTTCATCTGTATTACCGAACTTTCTTTAACTTCGCCGCCGGCGTTTTCCGCCGATGAAGCATCTTGTCTTTTGTGTTTGCGTCCTCTCTTCTGCGAATCTTTCATTTTTTTTCTCGACCCAGAAGAGAAAATGTTAGATTTTACTCTGAGTCTTTATCCTCCACGCGAAATTGCAATTGAAAATTGAAAATTGAAAATTGCAAGTCGACGCGGCTAGGGTTTATAATCGGAGAGTGAGGTAATGGCTAGGATGTAAGAAACGGCGATCGATCGTCCCGTCGTGTCCGAATATAAGAATATGGGCCTAAAATAAAAGCCCATTAATCGAATATAAACGAGCTTGGGCTTTTATATATCTAACTTTACTTTCCGTTTTGAGTAAACCAAACCTGAAATTTGATTACTTCACTTTCCCTTTCGAATGTGAACCATTTTCCTTCCTTCTTCAGTCTTCTTCTCCACCACAATCACTCCAAATCTCACTTGAATCATCACCAATTTCCCCAGATCTCTGTTTCAGAATCGTGATCCGTCCTCAATTTCTTCTCCGATCTTTGATTTCAAATGTCTGAAGGTTACGCGATCGAGCTTTACTTCGATCCGGCGCTTGAGAACCAGGTCCTGAAAGCTTGGAACGTCTTCGCTCGCCGCCAAATCAGCACGAAATTGATCAACGACGAGTCTCGTCCGCACATAACCTTGTTCTCTACCGTCTTCTTCGACTCAACGAGGCTCGAATCCGTCATCAGAAACTTCGTATCGAAGCAGGAACCGCTCTCGATCTCGTTCTCAGCTATCGGAAGCTTCTCGAGCGACAGCAACGTGCTTTTCCTCTCGCCGACGCCGTCCTTATCGCTTCTTCAGTTACAGTCTCAGTTATGCGACACGATGAAGAAAGAAGGCGTTGAGATTCCTGAAGATTATCGCGCCGATTCGTGGGTTCCGTTTTGTCCGGTGGCTCTTGAAGTCCCCAAGTCGCGTATGGCTGAAGCTTTCTCGGTGTTGAGAGATTTGAAGCTTCCGGTTAATGGATACGGCATGGAGATTGGTCTGGTCGAGTTTTCTCCGGTTCGTGAAGTCTTCTCATTTGGTCTTGGTAACAGCACTTTGGAGTCTTGATCATTGAAAATGTTCGATCTTTTGTGTTGGTTTGATGAGTTCTTGTAATTTCCCTCCGTAGAGTATCAATGTTTACTGTTGAACACTAAATTTCCAAGAAATAGATGAAGAATTTATGTTCATCAGTGACCTATCCCAGTCTCCTGTTAAGCATATAGATTCTTTAATTTCAACAATTGAATCTTTTTGGACAAAGTAAAGAAAGCAGTCCAATTTTTTCTTCACTGTAAAGCTTTTAGTTTGATCGGAATGATGTTACGATTGCTTGAGTTAAGTGGTAGAACACAAAAGAAGCATTGTGTACATGCAGTCATGGTTGGTGAAGAAGAAAGCTATTACCTTTTATGCTTCAATTCTCTGTAATTTTTAGTCTTTGCTTTATGTTGAAGAATTACTATTTATCAGTCTCACTTTTCCCAAGTTCTCTTGTTATATTCTCAGCAGTGGATTCTTTGTGGACAAAGCAAAGAAAGCAGTCCATGTGAGGGAAAATTTCTTCACTGTCAAGCTTTTCCCGATATGTGTTTTGATATAGTTAACTGATAGAGCACACTAGAAGCAGTGTGTTGTAGTTAACTAGTTATTATTGGTGAAGAACTTAGCTATTACCTTTCTGTCTCAATTAAGTCTGTTCCAGAGGGTTCTCTTATGGTATGATCTGTTTTCGGTTATGTCGATTGCTTCTATTTCATTCACTTTGAGTTTATGCTCTTTCTTAAATTATTTATCGATGTCACCTTTCTCAGTCCATATGAGTGAAAGTTTCTTCAGTTTCAAGGTTTTCTAGATATGTGTTTGGAGCAATGTGGAGTTACAGTTCTATCTGAATGATGTTATGATTGCTTGAGTTAATTAATAGAAGCAACGTGTTGTAGTCATGGCTGGTGAAGCTTCCTGTCTTAATTCTCTGTAATGTTTATAGTCTCTGGACAAATTCTGTTCAACATAATACTCTTTTGGATCACAAATGATCTTTAAAAACTTTTTGGTTTTGTCAATTTCTTACTTTTACATCCGCTTGAGATTATCCCCTTTGATAAATTGCTTTGAGATTCTTTAGAAGTTCTTACGATTTGTGTTTTCATGTCTTCCCATGAACACACAAAAAAATGGTAGAAACTATTATTCCTCTGCTCTGTTCTTTTTGCAGGCTGTGATCAATGAATACATGAACCAATGCCAGGTATGTGCAGTTATTATATGTCTTGTAAATATGTGTCTAATCTCTTTGTAACACATCATAACTAAAGCTTGCAATGAGCATTAAATCAAAGGCATTATCGATAAAAAGTTCTTATCCTCAAGATTACATGAGTTGTCTAAGTAGCTCCATGAGAAACTCGCTCCAGGTATCGATTGGTCCGGGCAAGCACCAATGAGTACAGTCGTTAAAACCCTTCATCCATGGGTTTCCCCAGTACGAGTTCGGGTGCCCGTCTGGTCTCATTAGCATGACCTTAGTCACATCCAAAGCCGCAAACTTCTTCTTTGAGCTGCCACGTTTTATCTCTTCGAGCTGTTCCATCTGCGATGTCCTGAACTCCATAACGCTACTCTTCAGGTCAATTTCATCTAACCTAAACGGGTTCATCCTTGCGCACGATCCTCCAGTGTTCCAAGTCCCATTCTCAAACTGAGAAGCCGAAAACGTCCTGAGAACCGTCACTAAGCTTTCTTTGCAGTGATGACATGCATTGATGTGCTTAAAGGCAGCTGAGAAAATGAGTTTAAACGCTTCTTTCATGTGAATCTGAGTCATATTTGGTAAGTTACAGTAGATGCAACCAATAGTCTCGTCTCCTTTATGTATGTATATTGGTCTGAATAACCAATGTCCAGCTGAAACAATGGCAATGTCTGTATTTGGCAGATCTCTCGCCCATTTCTCGTCGATCTTGTCAATGTCGAGATCATAAATTCCTGTTCCGGTCTTGTTAGCGTATGTCCTCTCATATCCGGCCACTAGAAACTTAGTCCATGAGGTAGATAGAGTGAAGTCATGACCAGGAAAATACCATATCCTATTTCTGTCTTCTGCATCCTTGTAGATATCTTTCGGAGTTTCTTCCTGCACAAGCAAAGCAACATAAAGAGATTTTTTTTAGGTCACGAGCTTAAAGGGTCTGTGTCACAAGTTCTTCTGTAATACAAGATTTGTACCATTGACAAGAGGCAAAGAAGAGACTCCATGTGATTTCTGGCTACAGAATCACCAATAAAATTCATCTTCTTGCCTCTAACAAGATCGAGAAAAGCTTTGGGATTGAATCTCGGAAGATCACAGCTTTCGGGTCTCCATCTCCAGAACAAGAAATCTATGTTTGGTCTCCCATGTTTTAAGCAGTTCTTCGAGTCAGGTATTGTAAGACAACTCGAGTTCGTGTACAGAGACCCTCTTTGGTCTGGAACCCACTCTCCTTTAGACAAGTCACAGTCTTTCAAATCTAAACCAACAACAATGAAACATAGACAATTAAATTAAGTTTGTCACAATTTGTAGATATGTATGTATTATATATATATATATATATATATATATTTATCATATAGGTGTTAAATAGCAACAGTTTAATTTTGTCTCACCAAGTAAGTTTTTGAAGATTTTGTTCTACTATTAACTAAAATATATAGCTTTTGTCTTACCCTTACATTTTCTTAGTAGAAAGTCTACCTATTGAATTTTGCTACCTCATAAAACCAATAACTAAATACTAAAACCAATAACTGAAAACTAAAATGCCAATAACCAAAAATTAAGGCGTTTTTCATTTCTGTATTTGGATGATGCATCTAGCTGCAAATGTCTAAATGTTGTTCGTTTTTTCAAAAAAAATTTGTGTTCAGATGTAGCATCTGGATGCAAATTGATTAGCATCTCAAAAATCTGGATATTATAGATGCTGAGAAATAGAGAGTTCAGATACAGCGTTTGCATCTGGTTCATGTAAAAAATGAAAAATCTTGATTTCCTACCAAAACTTTAATTTTTGGTTTTTCGCCAAAAACAAAAACTCTCCGTTTCCCACCAACGACGAAACATCTTGGTTTCTCGTCAAAAACGCAAAATCTCGATTTCTCGCCAAAAACGAAAACTCTCGGTTTCTTGCCAAAAACGCAAAATCTCGATTTTTTGCCAAAAACAAAAAATCTCGATTTTCCGTCAAAAACAAAAAATGTTTGTTTCTCGCCAAAAACACAAAATCTCGATTTCTCGCAAAAAAAAAAGAAAAATCTCGGTTTCTCGATGAAAACACAAAAATCTCGATTTTTCGCCAAAAGAACAAAATTTCGATTTTCCGCCAAAAACGAAAAATCTACGTTTTTCACCAAAAAACTAGGTTTTTCGCCAATAAACAAAATCTCGATTTTCCGCTAAAAGCGAAAACTCTCGGTTTCTCGCCAAAAACGCAAAATCTCGGTTTCGACGAACGAAAAATCTCGATTTTCCGCCAAAACAAAAAACTCTCGTTTTCCCGCGAAAACGCAAATCTCGATTTCCCGCCAAAAACACAAAATCTCGATTTCCATCAAAAATGAAAAATCTAGGTTTCTCGTCAAAAATACAAAATCTCGATTTCCCGCCAAAAACGAAACTCTCGGTTTCTCACCAAAAACGCAAAATCTTGATTTTCCGCCAAAAACAAAAAACTCTCGTTTTTCCGTCGAAAACGCAAAATCTTGATTTCTCGCCAAAAACGCAAAATCTCGATTTCTCGCTAAAAAAGAAATAATCTCGGTTTCTCGCCGAAACGCAAAATTTCGATTTCTCGCCAAAAACGTAAAATCTCGATTTTCCATTAAAAAAACGAAAACTCTTGGTTTCTCGCCTAAAACGTAAAATCTCGATTTCCTGCCAAAAACACAATATCTTTATTTTCCGTCAAAAACTCAAAATTCCAGTAAAAAAATTTTCCGTCAAGTATAAAAAATCATGTTTTTCCACAAAAAATGCAAAAAAAAAATTCATGTATTTTTAAAACTTAATTTGGTAAAAATATTTTTTTGTTAAAAAATAATAATTTTTTTTAGTCATTTTATATATTTTGCATCCAACTATTTTTCTAAATTCACAAACGAACAATTTAGTATCTAGATGTAGCATCTTGATGCAAAACCTAGTTTCAAAAACAAATAATTGTATCTAGATGCTGATCTAAATGCAAAATCTAGATGCAGCATCTAGATAAAAAAAACGAACAGGGCTTAACTAAAGTCTAAAACTAAGAACTCTGCAAACACCTTTCATCCATTCAATATATTCAACAATTTGGGGTTTTCATTTCAACAAGATATACTTTAGAAAATCAAACAAGGACATCATCTCTTTAGCCCACTCAAAACAAATGCTCTTGGGTCTGATCTTTTTTTTTTTTTGTTTGTTAAAACTTCAAACTTTTTTTTAAAAAAAACTTCAAACTTACCGATCTGAGGTTCGACGACGTGGACAACATTTTGATCTTTGATGGGGTTGTAAGGATTCCGAGGAAAGAAGAAGTGAGTGATAAAGAATAGAGTTATACAAAACAAGAAATATGGTGTCAATCTTTTTACGGTGATCACTTTCTTAAAATTTTCCCGGAAAATCGACCAAGAACTCATCGTTGCATGTCGATAATTGTCCACAAAAAAATAATATATCACTATATAGATGAACACCTATTTATTATATACACGCACAAAAGGAATTTTTTGCTTTCTTCTATGTTGTTTGATATATCAATTCAGTCTAAAATATGAAACAGAAAGACAAAAAAATCTAGAGATGAATGAAGAAAAATTAATGAAAACCCATATTCTCTTCCAAGGAGAGAACAATTCTTTTGAAAGGAAATAGCTATAAAGTAATTGACTAAGTATGTTTTGATGAAATGTACATGTTTAATTAATGCTTAGTACTGAAATATTTTTTAGCAAAAATGAACAAATTATTGTTTCTTGTATCTATTATATAAAGACTCAGTTGAGTCTCACAAATTTGACACATCAGCATTCATTTATTTGACACATCATATAAAAAAAATTATGAGAGAATTAAATAATTAAATTATACTTATTTCATTTTAATTGAATACAAAAACCAAAAAGAAATGCATATTAATTTATGGTTCATAATGAACTGCAAATTAATTTCTATTTTGGAAGTTGGAAAGATCGAATCTCAAACAATCTCTAATGCTTTCGAATATTGACTCAAAATTCCACAAATCTCCTATTTGATTTATGGGTTTTTGAAAGCTCTATTATATTCCTTGTATTGAATTCTTCTTAGTATAAAGTCATATCCACCGATGACAACACTACCACCATGACAAAGGGTTGATATTTGAAGTCTCGGGTAGAAATCAACAAAAACAAGAAAGAACACAACACTGTTTGAGCACAAAGAAGAAGTACGACAACATGGAGAAGACACTTGGTGAGACGAGGCAGAAAGTAGAGGATAAGATGGTTTTGAATGGAGGATTCGAAGTAGAGAGTAAGCTCTTATAATTGTTTCCGTTGGGAATTTGCCACTGAGTGTTAAGAAAAAGCTCATCTCAAAGGAATTTAACTAATCTCAAATAATTAGGTTCAAATAATGTTCATTGATTTTTTATTTCCTTTAATCTTGATTGATTAATCAAAAAAGACAAGGAAATGAGCTGTATTGTTTAAGCAAATCAATGACAAAACTTCAAGTTCAGCTTTTGAAGTTATAAATTCTAATGAAATCTATTTATATTATCAAAAATAAAAAATATGTTTATTTTGTAGAAAAAATGTAATTTTATAAGATATATTAAAATAAATAAAAACACCTGCGTGTACACGCAGGTATTCATCTAGTTTGATATAAACAATAAGTAGCTGCTTCATAACTAAAAGTTGAATGCACTTTAAATTTTGATATAAATTGATTTTCCATTATCTTAATTAAGAAATATAGAAAACAATCTTTGAAGAAAAGGTTAATTATATATACAATTTTAATATTTATTAATTCTTCTTTGATAATTTCCCACTCTCTGCATTTTCGTATTTTACTACTTTTAATTTCTGTTTTAATTTTCAAAAGATTTTGTGCGTCAAAATTTTAAAATAAAAATTAGTATACGTATTTCGGTATTTGAGTTGTCTTCTAACCAGCGAAAGAGTGTCGCGAACTCAGAAGAGCTTTTTAATTGCAATGGTCTCTTGGGTTTTATCCTTCCGTCCACAAAGTTGGCTACTTTTAGAAATTCCTCTCTCCGATTCTCGAAATTGTAAATCGAAGCTCTCGGATTGTCACACCACGAGTGTCCGACGAGGCTTATCTGTTTCCGTCAAGAGACAATCGCCGGCCAAGACTCGCTGTTTCACTGAGACAAATCGTCGAACATCTACCGTGCAATCCAAACGTGAACTCTGGGAAGACCCAGACGATGGTAGCGACAGTGAAGACGAAGACGAAGAAGATGGTGTCGGGAACGATTTAGATTTCGAGAGTGATTGGGATGAAGAAGATTCGAGAGCCCAGAAGCTTATTACTACAGACAATTACAACGAAGAGCTTGCAAGAGGTTCTTCTTCTTCTATCAATTCACTCTTTTCTCTCCAAATCGAAAATTAGTATTTTCCCATCTGAATTGTTCACTTCCCTTGTCGTTCTTTCAAAAAAGCTACAGACTTTAAGAAAAAATTTCCAAATTGCGAGTTATAATCACTCTGTGTTTCTGTATCGTCTTAGGATAATCGATTGAAGTAGTTTCAAAGCTGTAATTTTGTGTTTGTATGCAGAGGTTGAGCAACTTCTTGAACCCGAAGAAAGAGCAATTCTGCAGCAAAATGATAAACCAAACCTCAGAATGATATCAACAGTAAGTTTTCAAGTGATTTTTTCTTTGATATCTCTTGTTTGCATAATGCATTCGACAGTCATTCTCATATCAATCTATTATCGTTTCATTCGAGTGTTGTGGTTTCGATTCAAATGCTTTATTGTGTAAAATATGGATTTTGCAGAAGAAGTGGAAGCCACTTCAGACTCTTGCTATGTCAATGCAGATTCAATTAATGGATAATCTTATCGCAAATGGACTAGACATTGATGATGTTGATAAGGTTTGTTATTGTTGTAATGTTGTCGCCAAATCTGGTTTCTAGTCTTTACCATAACACTAATTGAATCTACATAAAAGCAGGAAAGTCAAACCGCTCTTCATAAAGCTGTCATTGGCAAAAAAGAAGCAGTGATTAGTCATCTTTTGAGGAAAGGAGCAAATCCAAACGTTCAAGATCGGGTGAGAACTTATACTTAAAACCCCATTTGAAAAGGAATAAAAGGTTTAAACTTTCGTAACCTAATTGTTTGAACATACAGGACGGTGCATCGCCGCTTCATTATGCAGTTCAAGTTGGAGCCTTGCAGACTGTAAAACTACTGATCAAGTACAACGTAGACGTCAATGTTACAGATAATGTCAGTAGCAACAAAAAAAACATATCCAAACCATTGAAAAATTTCAGATTTTAGATTCGATTTGAGATCTGATGAAGCTTTCTTTCTATACAGGAAGGATGGACTCCTTTACATATCGCTGTACAAAGCCGGAATAGAGACATTACAAAGATCTTGTTGACTAATGGTGCTGATAAAACAAGAAAAACAAAGGTAGGGTAAATGGTGAAAATATATCCAAAAAATGCTGAGACTGTATGATTATATGAAATGAATAGACTTTTGTATCAACTTGGTTTATAGGATGGGAAATTGGCTTTGGATATGGCTCTGTGCTTTGGAAGAGATTTCAAGTCATATGATCTAGTCAAGCTGTTGAAGATCATGCCCACTGACGATTTATAGAATGAGTTGGTGAGATTCTGAATGATCAGGTTGAGAATACTAAACCGGAGTTGCCATTACATGGTTTTCTTGTAATCTAATCCGGTTAAAGTGGTAAAGGTAAAAGAAATCCGGTTGAGGTTGTAAGTTTTGTAAAACTAAACTAGATTTGTGTTGTAGATCAATAACCATTGAAGAAATTGGTGATACTCAAATACATTTTCTTCGAAGCTTTCAAATTATCAATTAGATTTGGACATTCACTAATATCTCAAGTAAGTGACTACGTTTAAATTTAAACTAATGACTATTCAAATTATAATTGATCACAGAACCTTATAATGGATCTGTAAAAATTCCATAATGAATAAGTTAGGAGTGCTTCTCTTCTCTGTCTGTCTTTTCCAGTGAACAAGAAGACAAGAGTGCTTCTCTTCTCTGTCTTTTTTTTTTTCGTCCTCTTCTCTGTCTTTTCCAGTGAAAAAGAAGACAAAAATCTCAGTTGTATGAGAGTAGAGAAGCAATCAACCAGTTAGACAGACACTTACAGTAAACCGTACAATAACGTTAAACCAGAATGTTTCAAAGTTGCCTAAAATTATTATAATCTGTAACATCTTTCTAATTTCCTAAAAGCTAATACTCCTTTTGAAGTGTTTTAGAGATTTGTTCATCATCATTTCTTGGCTGAACAAACTTTTGGAAACATTGATGCTTGACAAGTGAAAAAAACTAAACCAACTCTGAATTGGCCGAGAGTAATTCTGGACAAGGAACTTTAGAGCTGGCCCTTTGAGTAGGGACCGATCCTGAAATTCGGTATCCAACAGATCAAAGAAAACCATATGTGTCATTAGATATGTAAGTGGAATGTCTTAGAAGAGGGCTAGCTACTTATGCTCCATCCATGTGGGCTTTCATTCAAAGTAATACTCAATGGGACCATGTCGCAAGAGCTTGATGCTGACCTCAAGGTGGCTTGACAAGCAAACAAAACTATATATGGCTCTGGAATCGGCAACTTACAAAATTTTCAGTGAAAAGTAATTTATATATATTATTTTACATTTCATTACATTTAAGATGTGAAATTTCTAACAATTAAAATCTCATTCAACCATAAAATTTTTAGAATTGATGATTGGGAAAATAGACCACAAGGTCCACAATGATGCAAAAACAAAATATGATTTCAATCTAAATAAATAAAATGGAAAAAACTTGTTATTTCGTATCGTGTTTTTGGTTTAAGAAATTTTGTTACTTATCAGACTATGAGAACAAGATGATATCGACACCAAATAACAAAGGCGAAAGATTGATGTAAAATTATTAATTTGACACAAATTTCTAATGGTTGTTGAAATCAAGCTCAGTTTTAATTTTGAACCGAATATTTTTGTCATATGATTGTTGAATGTTAATTATTATTACAATTAATGGGGAATCATTTCCACCTCAAAGGAAATAAAAGTCCTCCCTTTACAACTTTTTTTCATTGTTCCTTTTCTAAATATAAAACAAACAAAGCAAAAGATAATACGAAAAATAAGGATGGGATCAACAACAAAAAAAAAGTGCCACCCAACCAAATTGCCAGAAAATACAAGAATTCTCCACTCAACCATAAAATTCGCAAAAGAAAAAAAAAAAATCTCATCTCCCAACCAATTACAACCCCCAACCCTATAATTTAGAACTTTAAAAAAAAAGAAGAAAAAGTAAAAAGTTCCAAATCCACAATTAAAATTAAAAATCAAAATAAAATAAAAAGCAAAGAAATTACGAGCTAAAAAAGACACGTCAAAACTCGGACGAGTTAACACCGTCTCCACCACCGAGTCGATACTGGCTTCGACTTACACTACCGGAGTTTAACAACTCTTCCCAATCAACTTCCTCATTCTCCGGCGAAGAATCATCTTCCAATTTAGCTCTCATCACTTCCAAAACTCTTCTCGCCTTCTGCTTCGCTCTCTCTCTCCCACTCCTCTCCACTTTCGTCAGCTCCTCCACCGCGTTCGCCGCCATAGCCAAACCTTTAAACCTCAATCCTCCGTCGTGACTCAGTCCATACAAAACCGCAACACAGCTCTCCCGAGTCGACTCGCTAACCTCTCTATCTCCTCTCAAAATCCCAACCATACATTCAACACCTCCCGAGTCAAGCAAAGCGGGTCGACTCACCGGACACGACGCCATGTTACAGAGAATCAGCAAAACCCGATTCGTCGTCGTGTTCCCTAATTTCGCCATGTTTAGAAGAATCTGAACAGCTCCGAGCTTAACGAGCTTCCCTCGATTGCTCTGCACTAGAGAGAGATGATACAGAGCAAGAGCCGAGTCATGCCGAGTCAACTCAGTCCCAACTCGGATCAGGTGAAGCAACGGCTCTAAAGCTCCGAGAACTCCGATCGCCGTCTTGTTCTCGTCTTCGAGAGATAAACTGAAAATCGCTCCGGCGGAATGTTCCTGCGCTTCCGACGAGCCGCATTTGAGAACGTCGATCAACGGAGGAACGATTCCTGACCGTACGATCTTCACTTTGTTAGATTTCTCCAGCGAGAGGTTCACTAGAACCGCCGTGACGTTAACCTGAACCGTCGCGTATCTCGAAACGATGAGTGACTTTAGTGCTGAGATTAGCCTCGCCGTACAGAGACTGATTCTAGAAGCTTCGTCGATTCTCGTGACGCGTCGAATCGAGATCAAAGCTTCTTCGATCTCCGAAATTCGATTGCTTTTTAGCTTTACGAGAAGAGCCTCTTCTTCTGGGCTAGGGTTTGGTTCTAAAGACTCGATTTCTGCAGAGGAAGGTGAAGAGAAGCAGCTAGGCCGAGTCGCTAGCTGAAGTGTACGGCTCGAGGAGGCTATTGACTCGTCGGAGCTCGAATTGAAGTAGTTAGGTCTCCGGTCAAGCTCCGTCGCGGCGTGGTCTAGTCTCACCGAAGGTTTGTCTTTGATCGCTTGGATTAGCTCCTTCTCTGAAACCGAAACTTTCCGGTGGCTCGATCTGTGTGTTTTCTCTATTAACGAGAAAACGAGCTTTTCCGCGGCGGCGTAGTCGAGCGGCTTCGGCGGCGGAAAACACCGTCGCTCACACCAGCTTAGAATTGCGGATTTCAGCGCGAGATTCGGTATGACGGTGGAGAAATCCGGCGGCGAATTCGGGAATAGAGGGTTTGGAGTAAAGCCTAGGGTTTTGGAAGCGATGACGCAAGCTCGCTCGTAGGAGTGACCGGAAGAGACGATGATTGGGTCGGCCATTAAAGAACCAGAGATCGGACAGAGAAATTCCGCCGGAATCTCTGTTTTCGCCGGTGAATTGTTGGATTTTGAAGAAGAAGAGGAGGAAGAGGAAGAAGATCGAGACAGTGAGATTCTCCATTTCGATTTACCGGCAAGAGATTCTCGTTCTCGTCGGGAAATGCTGTCACTTTTGTCGTGTTTTGAGTGGAGAACCATGAGCTTGATGACTGGTCGTTGAATCTCCATTAAAGATTGGATTTTTTAGAGTGTAGAGAGTAGAATTGTTGTTGAAGACGAAGAAGAAGAAGACCCATGAGAACCTTAAAAGATGAGATTTTTGTGGGAGAGAGATTGACAAAACAGGAAAGAGAGATTTTGGGAGGGAGATTTTGCTGCTTGCTTGTTGTTCTAGTTAAACTGTGGACTTGGTCATGTTCTATCATTATTATGGTCATGGTTTTTTAAACAATATTTATGATGTTAAAAATCAAAGATTTAATTTTTAGTAGGTAAAAGTGAAGATACGTCCTTTGTGAGAGTTATTGATTGGAGAATTTGTCTTTGCTTTGGGCTTTTGTGATTCACATGTGTTTTTTTTCAGCTGTTTTGTATAGAGCATTGATGATGTTTTTTTTTTCTCAATATTTCTGTAAACTCAATTATTTGTTATCTATAGGTTTTTGGTGAATTTCCTCATTTTTACAACCTTTCGAAATGATAATTTTGTTACCTATAAATTTTAGACATAAAATCTTATTTCAAATCTTTAATAATATCTGCAACTAGATGAAGATTAAAAAAAAACTAACATTTTTTCATGTAGATATAAGTACATAATATTGTAACATATAAACACAAACTTAATGTTAAAAATATAATAAGGGAATTGAATCATATTACTATATGGTACACGGCATTAGTGACAAATTATTAAAACTACTGATTCCGCGTCAAACTGAGATAAATAATAAAATTAAGAGGTTAATGATATGTCATTGTGTGTAAGATGAGCATGCTTAAAAGAAAGGGTTAATTAATCTTTCATGTTGAAGCAATTATGTGTGTTGCTTTATGAAAAAAACACTGTTTATAACCAAGAACAGTACTGTCGTTTTCAGCTTTATGAATTTTCCAAAAGTTTATACTTTTTGCTTTTTTTATTTCTGCTTTCTGCCCTTCGTTTCTGGGAATTTAACTTGTTTTCTTCTTCCACGACCATGACAGATATATTTTCTCCAATTAAGTATTTTGTTAATTAGGTGTTAGAATTGTAGTATTTGATTGGTGGCATTTTATCAAAAAATAAAATATACTGGCAGCATTTGTTGGATGCGGTTTTGAATGACAAATTAATGGGACTAAAATTAAATATGTGCTAATAAATTATTATTATCAATTTATTCACTTGAATAACTAAATAATAGAGGGCCTCTGAGGCTTTAAGCTCGCAGTCTCAGATATATTAGATAACTTTATGACAATGTTTTTTGTAACAAAGCTTTATGATAATGTTGTAAGAAAAATTAAAGAAGAAGATAGCTTTGTGACATTCTAATTCGAATCCAATATTAGGTCGCAGTATGAACTGATTCAAAACAAATATTGGGTCGCAGTATTCATTTACAAGCTAGGGCTCAAAGCTTACCAAACTACTTACCACTTTTATAATCGGACTTTTCTCTTTTGTTTTTATTGCATGGGAATAAATTATGAAATGATTACATAAAAGGAAGAGGGAGTATAACAAGTTACCATTAATAATTGTATTCTTCGTTGCTAAGTATTCACTATTCAGATAGGTCTATATATGTATAGGTAGCGTACGTATCTTGTATGTATGTGTGTGTTTGTGTAAATAAATGCTAATGAATTATGAGATAGACACAATCTTTAGACTTTTGAAGAGTGGCCATAGGCTGTTTTTCTCAATTTTTGCTTACCCTTTTTTGCCTTTTTCCAAAGTTGTTAGATTTTTTGTGCAATTTTATTTAAAAACAAAAAAAAAACAAATAAGGCAGGTGTTCACACGCTAATGCTAAGAAAATTTATTCTGTAAAGTCTAATAAAGGAAAATGTGAAGCTACCATTTGAGGTATGTAGTTTATATGTAAATTATATATAAACATGAAAAGATATTTTATTTTTTTAATTATCAAAATAGTGTAACATCCTAAACTATAACTAACCATAAGCCCTAAAGGAAAACAATATATTTCCCCTGAAAACTTTCATATAATAATAAATCTCTCTGAAGTTTGACCTTCGTTTTAATTCTCTTTTTTATCAAAGTTTTAATTCTATTTCCCCATAAAATTAAAATTTTAAATTTGTTTATTCATATATATCAATTTTATCGGTTTATAACTTAAACTAATCTAACCGAATTAATAATCTAAATCAAATATAATTTAAACCCAATGCAGAAAAAAAAAACAAAAGATAAGTGGTCCCACTCTCTTCCTCGCGAGTCTTTTTTTTTTTTTTTGACGTGACTCTTCTTCTTCCTTGTTTGCTGAAATACAAAATCAAAACAAGACAACTGAAAATCTTTTCAACTAAAACTAAAATTAGTTCTTATTGATATTAAGAGCAAACCCATAATTTTTTTTGTAAACCATAACCTTTGAAACAAGACAATTGAAGAAATCTTCTAATCAAATTAAACTCAGAAAAAAATTAAACTTAGAAATTAGTTTTTATTGAAATTAAAAACGTACATTTCTGCTTTGATTCGTTCAAGACTAATCATCTTTTCGGTCCTTCTTCCACGTGAGTGATCCCAACATCATAGAATTTGATTTCGTTTCTAGGGTTTTAGTTCTGCGATCTGGGTTTTGATTCATGATTCTCAGATCCAAGAAGAGAACAGTTCAATGGAATTGGAGGAGTTCAAGGTTAGCAGAGAGTTTTCATGGTCAGAAAAACGCCTAGTTTGATTGAAAATTCCCCAGTCTTCGGTGTGTTTGAGGTTTCCGAGTCGGGTAATTTCCCGAGACGTGAAGAATATGATTTGAAAGACATTGAGGCATTAGTTTGGTTTAAATTAGGTTAATTTGGTTTCTTTTGGTATTAGTTTGGTTAACAATTAATTGGTATACAATAAACCGATTAAATCAGAGTTTGTGGAAAAATTGATTTGGAAGTTTGATTTCAGGGGAAAATAGGTTTCCAACTTCTATCTATCTGATGGAGAAATAGAATTAGACTTTGATAAAAGGGGGAATCAGAACGAGGGTCAAACTTCAGGAAGATCTATTATTATATGAAAGTTTTCAGGGGGAAATAGATCGTTTTCCCAAGCCCTAAAGAATAAACTTTACCCATGAATCCTAAACTCTAAAACTTAGATACTTCATTCTGAAATATAAAAAATGATATATTCATTACTTTTTAATAATTTAAATTTAAAACTCTTCTTTTGAGTTTTTCCAACTATCCTTTTTTATTCTCTAAAAATTTGAACAATTCATACCAACTTTTCTTATTAATAATATGACAACGTTATTTTTTGACGAGACTGATGATTGATGAGATACTATGATGTATCCTAGAATCCGTTGGAAGAGGTTAACGGCGCAACGGCTAGTGCTGAGCTGGCAAGAGGATAAGATCAATCTAACGGCTATGCAAAGACTCGGAAGGAAGGAGAGGGTTTGACCACGAGGAAGAGAGTCAAAGCTATATAAGAGTGTAGTGAGCCGTTAGGAGAGTTTATGCAAATTGTATTCTAGTTTCTGTAAAGAGAGCGTCATGAGCTCTAGAGGATCGTTATGAGATCCTGGATTCGAGAATACATTTGTAATTGATCTGTAATTCTTCTCTCATATCAATAAAGAGTACATTCAGTAGCTGAGGGAGATCTAAACTCTATCATTGGTGCGGTGACAAAAGACGAATCTAACGCGATGTCAAATCGAGAGGCGACACCGACGAATCTCCAGTTCGCCGACGAAGAATCGGAGCCAGCGACGGAGCTAAGGGAACGAGTTGAAGTATTACATGGAGGATTGAAGAGATTGTGTGAATCCAAGGTGGAAACAGAGACGAGAATGTCAGCGATGGACGAGAAACTAAACGCGATGCTGACGATGATAGAGAAGCTGATTCTAAACGCGAATAAGGACGGATCGCGAGCTTCCGGTAGACCAGAATCATTGAATGAGCAATTCCAGGTACGATCTTCTCAATTGGAACATAACCGGAATGATCTACCGCTAGGTTATCGAGCTGGGAATTTGAATGTAGCGAATAGAGAAAGCATGCTCAAAAAAATTGAAATGCCAAGCTTCGACGGTACCAAACCGTATGAGTGGATAACAGATGTGGAACATTTCTTCTTTGTGGGACGTTATGTTGAATCAGAGAAACTGGATCTGGTAGCTTTGAGCTTATCAGGAAAAGTGAGGAAATGGTTTAGATGGGAGGTACATCGGAATGGATTCAGAAATTGGTCAGAGTTTAAAGAAAAGTTGCTGCTACGTTTTGCTGAATCAGTGGACGACGAGCCAGAGAACAGATTGTTGTCAATACGTCAAACAGGATCTGTGAGTGCTTACGTATCGGAGTTTGAGGAGCTGTCATCATTGGTATCGGGTTTAGAAGACAGATATTTGATCAAGATTTTCTACAAAGGATTAAGTCAGGAAATGCAGGAAGTGATACGTATGAAGGAGCCAGTGGGGTTAAGGGCACATATTGCTGCAGTTCTGAAAATGGAATCAAGCACTTTCTGTAAAGTGGTGGGTGATGCAACTCGTACAGAATACAAAGGACAGATTCGCAACACCGGGCAACTAAGAACTTCATCTTGATACAACAGCAACAGATATCAAGCCCAACGCGAAAGTACAGGAGGAAACTGGAATGGAGTGGGGGCTGGAAACAGTCAGAATAAGCCACAACCGAGCGGAGGTGAACAGAAACTGAATAAAGAAGCCCAAACAACAAACAGACAGGAATTGAGACCAAGACAAATGTACTCAGACCTGCAACTAGATGCGATGAGAAAGGAAGGATTATGTTTTAAATGTGGAGCTAAATGGTCCAAAACACATGGAAGAGAATGTCCAATGAAAGAACTAAAGATATTAACAGTCATTAATGGGTATGATATGGAAGTTCTTGGGGAAGAGGAGGACGAATACGAAGGAGAGCAGGCACTAGTGGTGCAGGATTTGATGGTTTTAACACTAAGCTCATTTTTGGGACTTCATTCTCCTAAGACTACTAAACTCTATGGTAGGATTGGGAAAGACGAGGTGGTAGTCTTGCTCGATAGTGGAGCATCACACAATTTCATTTCACCAGAAATTGTGAACAAGCTACAACTGAAACTTTGTGCGGATAGTAGCTTGGACGTGTTGTTAGGCAACGGGATTACAGTCAAGGGCACAGGCATATGCCGAGACTTAAACTTCCAGTTGTCATCTGTTAACTTCACGTCAGACTTCATCTCGTTAGAACTAGGAATGGTGGATATAATACTGGGTGTTCAATGGTTAGAGACATTAGGAAAATGCAAAATAGATTGGAAGAAGCAAGAAATGTCATTCTGGCATGAAAGAGAACTAGTGACATTATACGGTGATCCAAGTCTACATTTTCCTACTCTATCACTGAAAACCTTGTTAGCGAAGTCTATTATTGAAGAGGAAGGTGTAGAACTCTTTAGTAAAGACTTAGCAACATCTACAGAGATTCCTAGAGTGCCGTTGGGAGTAACAGCTGTATTGGAACAGTTCACAGAAGTTTTCAAGGTTCCTACAGGGTTACCCCCATTCAGAGGCAGAGATCATGCAATAAACTTGAAGCCTGGGGTCTCAGCTATCTCAGTGAGACCATACCGATATCCACATGCAAGTAAAATTGTTATGGAACAAATGGTTCAGGATATGTTGGCTTCAGGGATTATCAGACCCAGTAATAGTCCATTTTCGAGTCCAGTGCTTCTGGTTCGAAAAAAAGACTCTTCTTGGAGGTTCTGTATCGATTATAGAGCTTTGAATAGAGCAACAGTTCCTGATCGCTTTCCAATACCGGTAATAGATCAGTTACTGATGAGTTACATGGTGCCAAAATCTTTTCAAAGCTGGACCTTCGATCAGGGTATCATCAAATAAGGATGAAGGAATCAGACATTGAAAAAACAGCCTTCAGAACTTTAGAGGGCCATTACGAATTCCTAGTCATGCCATTCGGCTTGACTAACGCACCTGCAACATTTCAAGCTCTTATGAACTCAATATTCAGAGAATTCTTGCGTGACTTCGTGTTGGTTTTCTTTGATGATGTGCTGATTTACAGTAAAAGCATGAGTGACCACGCAAGACACCTTACAGCTGTGTTGAAGGTTTTTGAAGAACAACAGCTTTTTGCAAATAAAAAAAGTGCTTATTTGGCCAGAATCAAGTGGAATACCTTGGCCACATCATTTCGGAACAAGGAGTGGCAACAGATGCAGTAAAAACGGAAGCCATGAGAAAGTGGCCTACACCAAGAACCGTGAAACAGCTTCGAGGATTCTTAGGTCTCACAGGATACTATCGAATATTTGTTAGAAATTATGGCAGCATTGCAAGACCTTTAACAGAATTATTAAAGAAAGATCAATTCTTATGGTCTGAAGAAGCACAGAAAGCGTTTGACAAATTGAAGGAGGCGATGATAACAGCACCAGTGTTGGCTCTTCCGGATTTTGACAAAGTATTCATCGTAGAATCAGATGCATCAGGCTATGGGCTAGGAGCAGTTTTAATGCAGGATCGCCAACCTATTGCTTTCTTCAGTCATGGACTAACGGCTCGGGAACAACTAAAACCGGCATATGAGAGAGAGCTGATGGCCATTGTGATGGCAATTCAAAAGTGGAAACATTACCTTTTGGGTCGAAAATTTGTGGTACACACAGACCAGAGAAGCTTGAAATCCTTATTGGAACAGAAATAAGTCAACATGGAGTATCAACGTTGGTGGACAAGATTGCTAGGCTATGAGTTCGACATACTCTACAAACCCGGATGTGAGAATAAGGCAGCCGATGGGTTATCAAGGATACCTGAACCACTTTCAGCGACAACAAACTCTATGCTATTGGCCTTAACAGTTCCATCTGCAGTACAGTTACAAGATCTGTATGAAGAGATAGCAAAGGATTCAGCAATACAGAAGTTAATACAACAGCTAAAGGAGGGAAAACAGATGAGTTCTCATTACAAAGTGATAGAAGAGAAACTATGGTACAAGAAGAGACTAGTGATTTCGAAAGTTTCCAAATTCATTCCCTTGATTCTTCGAGAATGCCATGACAGTCAGATGGGAGGCCATTCAGGGGTTCTGAAAACAAAGAAACGAGTGCAACTGTTATTTCACTGGGAAGGATTACAACGTTCAGTACAGCAGTATGTAGCAGAGTGTGAAGTTTGTCAAAAGCATAAATATTCAACATTAGCACCTGCAGGATTGCTGCAACCGTTGCCCATACCAGTGGCTATTCGGGAAGACCTGTCAATGGATTTTATAGAGGGATTACCAACTTCTCAAGGCTTTAATGTGATAATGGTTGTGGTGGATCGGTTAAGTAAATACAGCCACTTTCTCAGCCTCAAACATCCATTTAATGCCAGTGATGTTGCTTTAAAGTTCCTGAATGAAGTGGTAAAGCTACATGGGTTTCCGAAGAGTATTGTATCAGACCGTGATAAGATCTTTTTGAGCAACTTCTGGAAAGACCTCTTTCGTCTATCAGGCACGCAACTGAAGTTTAGTACGGCCATTCATCCACAGACGGATGGACAAACAGAAGTTCTCAATCGGTGCCTGGAAACTTACTTAAGGTGTTTTGCTTTGGGTCATCCTCGAACATGGCACAAGTTTTTAGCGTGGGCAGAGTTGTGGTACAACACTTCGTTTCATTCGGCCTTAAAAACATAACCATTCAAATTTGTCTAATGGTAGGGAACCACCAACACTCATTTGCTTTGAGCAAGGATCTACCAACAACTTTGAATTGGAAGTCATGTTAAGAGAGCGTGATGAAATGTTGGAAGTAGTTAAAGCCAAACTAGAACGAGCTCAGCAATTAATGAAGAACAATGCGGATAAGAAACGCAGGGATGTGGAGTTTGAAGTGGGAAAATGGGTCTTTCTTAAACTCAAGCCATATCGACAAAGCACGGTGATTCGAAGGTTTTGTCAGAAATTAGCCGCGAAGTACTTTGGGCCATACCAGATCTTAGAACGAATTGGCAAAGCGGCCTGTAGACTTGATCTTCCCACTAACTCTAAAATTCATCCAGTTTTTCACGTTTCCCAGTTAAAAGCAGTAGTGGGAGCAAATCACACCGTACAACCAATGCCTCCGGTGGATTCGGATTTGTTAGAAACAGAGCTGCAACCGGAGGATATACTAACTTCGAGATACACGGAGAATGGGGGTATTGAATATTTGGTGAAATGGTGTGATCGTTCAGACTTGGAGAACACTTGGATATTGTCAAAAGACTTTGTGAAGCAATTTCCAACCTTCAAGCTTGAGGGCAAGCTTGCTCTCAATGGGGGGAAGTATTGATAAGCTTCATAATGTCTATTACAGGAAGAAGAAGAAGGAGTTAGTTACAGAGCCGTTGGAAGAGGTTAACGGCGCAACGGCTAGTGCTGAGCTGGAAAGAGGATAAGATCAATCTAACGGCTATGCAAAGACTCGGAAGGAAGGAGAGGGTTTGACCACGAGGAAGAGAGTCAAAGCTATATAAGAGTGTAGTGAGCCGTTAGGAGAGTTTATGCAAATTGTATTCTAGTAAAGAGAGCGTCATGAGCTCTAGAGGATCGTTATGAGATCCTGGATTCGAGAATACATTTGTAATTGATCTGTAATTCTTCTCTCATATCAATAAAGAGTACATTCAGTTGCTGAGGGAGATCTAAACTCTATCAAAACCCTGCAAGATAGACAGCACGAACTGCAAGCTGTTCGAAATCAGAAGGAGGATATGGCTGCTTGAAAGCAAAATGAGAAAAGAGTTGAAGAGCTTCATCATATCTTAGGGATCTGACTTCATACAGATCCCTCGCTCCAGCGTCAACAAGCAAATTCTTGTTCTGGCTAATAAGAATGACTCTGCTTTCTGGAGCAAACCATTTAGCGTATTCAATGATCCACTTCCCTTGTTCGATGTTGTTCACATTATCAACGATAAGGAGAACTTTCCGGTTTTTACGCCTTGCTTCGGTAATTTCATGCCCATCGTCATCTAAACTTCTTATTACCGTTGGATCTTCTTATTCCCCTTCGAGTTTTAGAATCTTGTCTTTCATGTTTTCAGCATTTTCAAGGAAAACATGTGTCTGAAAATTTACAGAGATCTCTGCATAAATGTACCTTGCAAGTGTTGTCTTCCCAACACCTGTTCTACCCCAAATGCCAATGGTACTAACCTCTTTGTTAACTTGTGAAGCCAACAAGTCATGAACCACTTTCAGGTGACGATCCATTGCAACAAGGCCATTCAAATCGTTTGACGTGGAAGAGAGACACAGAAAATCAATAATATGAGCAATTTGCTCGAGAAAATCTGATTGGCCCATACCAGCAAGACTCGGAGATAATGATGGACTATCGGCGGCAATGTTAGCCAATTTGGTAAGTGCAATTCTCCAACTTGGCGCATTCTCCGGATATTCTTGGTAGATTTCTTCTTCCACATCGAAAGAGAAAGCTGTAAGGAAGATGGGTATGACCGTCAGTGAACCTCTCTCTTGAAATTCGAGTATTACTATGAGCTCTTCCAGGAACCCAACGGAACAAAGTTTGGTCTCAGACGTCATCACAACCGCAACTTTCGACTCTTCCAAAGCCTCGAGTGTCTGTTTATCAATTGGTCTGACTCTCGTCTTCTCTCAGCTGTTGGATTCAAAAGTTTTAATGCCATTTCGAAACAAATGACCTTTGAAAATTGCGTGGCTAGTGGTAGTGTTGCAGAAACTTAGGAAGACATCCACTTTCCTTTCAGCAAACAAAGAAGAAGAAGAAGACATTGGTTTGGTTCCAACAATGTCAAAAAGCTTCAATTTTGTCTTGCGGTAAGAGAGATAGAATACTAAACTTTTTTCTTCATTTTGTGAGTCATTCAGGATACCCTTTCTAAATGAGACCCACGGGTTACTGTCGACATTTTGTAGACTAGCATGATTAATCATTGGCCACCTAAAATGAAAGAAAAAAATAATTTGATGGGGAAAAAATCTATATCTAGTCTAATGTTATTGACCAAATTGCCACTTTAAGATATTACCTACTGAAAACGGCTTATTCCCCTACGAATTTTATGCCTTTTGAAAGTCCATACACATACTATTGAACAATGTCTATAGCTACATGAATTATTGAAATGTGGCCAATATCACCAAAACCGTAAACGGTGTGAATTTTCTGTCAATGTTTAATGACGTGGTTGACATGTGGCATACGAGTTTACTATGGTATATGATTTGATCGGATTTTTTTTCTTAATTACAGCTGCTCAAAACGATGTCGTTTTTTATGGTTTTTCACAAAAATGCACTATTAGAGTTTCGAACACACAACCTTCATGTTAATTACTTATTATCTTACCAAGCTGAAGACATTTATTGATTAAAATTATCTAAAAATATTTATATCGATATCCCTGTATTATTTCTCTCTTTGCAAGATATTTATTGATCTTGGGTTTTGCGTTGAGCGACAAAAATATTATATCGATATCTCTTGGGATGTTGAGAAAGAAGTTCCAATCTTGGTTTACGAATACATTCCCAATAAATATCTGCTCAAGCATCTACATGATGAATCTGATGATTACACAATTTTGATGGTAAGCTATGTTAAGGGGTCTTCAAAATATCTATATGAAGAGATTTGGCACCATTTTGATGCCCATGTCTGGCTAGATATGGTGCACTGCTTTGCCCTTACAGGTGATTTTTGATTCCTTGGCAATCTTTATTCTATGATCCTTATTTTTGATGCGGACATTATGATGATAATTGATAAAGCTGCGGAATTGTCTGTGTGTTCCAAGAGAGAGCTGAGAATTGCCTTGATGTGTCTACATAAGCATTTTGTGTGTTTGTGTGTGTGTGTCTCGAGTTCAAGACCTGGTTACTCAGAACATCAAGAACCAGTCCACAACAGATATCATATTGGGAAGATTATAGACATGGAGGCTAAACTCAGATTGCTTCAAATGGAAAGTCGTGAGATGCTCATTCGCCTTCAAGAGAGGTGATAGAGCTGAATCTGAAATATCTTGGCCAATTTGGCTCAGTGAGTCCAAGCGTTTTGAGACCATCTCTACTGTCGTTTATTTCTCATCTTCCTTCTTTTGGCACTGCCGCAGAGTGTCTGCTTCCAAGAAACTGAGACGTGTTACAAACGGGATCACCAAGCCACAAAGAGTGGTCTGTTCAAGTTCCTATGCTGATCATATTTCTAGTCGTTCTTACTTGTCATGCTTATGGTTGTTATTTTCATGTTATAGCAGCACAAGCACGTTAATTTCATTTTCTGTAGAGAGGTGTTACTCAATGTGTCAAGACTCAAGATTGATGCAGAGGATGTATTTACCAGATGTCTAGGCAAGTAGAAGTTGACTAACTCCATACTTAGCAATAACCGTCACACCAACAAAAAAAACAAAAAAAAAACAACTTGAGCTCTCGTATTTTGACTCTTTTGACCAAATTCTGATACTCTAAAAAATTTCAGGTTTACTTAGTATTTAAAAAGAAAGGGTTGTAGAGTCGATAATACTTGTGTGGCACCTCATGTGCCATTGAATGCTATTCGTAACTCCTGACAATGATTTCGTGTGGAAGGATCAGATAAACCTCAAATTACAAGATTAAGGTTCTGTCTCCATTTTAAGCATACCACTAATGGGTTGAAACAACTTATTAGTATTGAGATCTGATGCTTTGCTTTGTGCAGACAATGACATCAGATGAAATCAAAGAAACCACAGCTAACATGTGAGAACTGAGTCAGAGAGACATGTCTCACCAATGCAGCCTTGTTCATTAATACCCGAGCATTCACAATCCTTTACCATCTCTGAAAGCCTAAGCTTCCATAAACTTATCATTCCATTTTTGATTAGCATTTGCAGAATTGGTCTTTTTAATGTAGTTCATCTTGAAATCTGTGTTTTTAAGCAGACTTTGAATCCACAATTCTTGAAATATACTGTATATGGGTTGTGGTTGACGTGGTTAAACTCGGTTTCTTTCTTCGTTTGGTTATCAAGATTCTCATAACTGGTAGAAGTCGAGAGGAGTGGATAGCTACATTGCTCAAACTCAAGCGAAAATATATTGGAAGTGTGGAAACTTATGGAAGCATCACAGGGTATAGGTCAGGAGGAGAGGGAAGCCGCTGAAGACATAATGGAAGGGAAGGAATCATCACAAGATGAAGGTGAAGAGGAGAGGGAAGCTGCTACAGACATAATGGAAGGGATGACATCATCAAAAGATAAAAGTCAAGAAGAGAGGGAAGTTGCTGCAGACATAATGGAACGGAAAGAATCATCACAAGATGAAGGTCAAGAGAAGAGGGAAGTGGCACTGCGTAAACGCAATGAGAAACAAGGTCAAGACCTTGTGGAAGCATTAGAAGACATTACGGAACCATCAACATTTTACGGATAAGAAAAGCAAGCGGTATGAAGAGGAGAAGCATCAGAAGACAAAGATCACTTGTAAGCATCAAGAAAAAAAAAAAAAAAAAAAAAAGAAACGAGCGTTATGAAGAGTCACCTTTATCATTTCCCTTTTATCCTTCTCTCTTTCCTTGAAGATAATATGAGTATGAAGCTTACTAGTACCCAAAAACTCCACCTATTCTTCTGTTTCCTGAAACTGTAAAGCTTGTAAACTTTAGAAACATGCGATAAATTATTATTTTTGAGCACTGCAAAACACTGAAATAGAGGAACAGAAACCAGCACGGAAAAGAAAATTCTGCTTTTGATGCAACTGGATAATGATACAGGAAAAGTGCAAGATCGTGCCAACTTACAAAACCATCTTCGAGTGCCATCAAATCCAAATCATAATCCATCACTTCTTACTCTTTATCCAGAAGCTGCACAGTAATATATGTACCAAGATTCTCAGAAGTGCCCCCAAAAACAAAATCTAAAGAAGCAAACATGTTAAAGTTAAACAGAAGACGAAAACGAAAGAAAAAAAACCTTGTTAAACAGAATGTAAACAGCTCGATTTTCTTCATTCTCTTGTGACATTCTGCAAATTGGTAAAGCTTAATTGATTTATCCACAAAGATTGAAGTTTTAAGGTCGAGTCTCGACCTAATCGAATAGTTCTGATCTCCTCTCCTCTGTGTGAAGGTGTTTTGATTGGAGCACAGATCATATGAATCTCAAGATTGCCCAAACATGTTCAATGGCGAATGAGAAAACATGTTATGATAAAGACAGTGTCAATTCTCTGCTTGAGAAATTGGAGAGATCTGGAGATTGAAATTTGAAGAAGAACAAGAAGCTGATTCGTCTAGTATGGTAACTCGCAAGAATTGTGGACTCAAAAGTCTGCTTACATCACAGATTTCAAGATGTTCAGGCCTGCAACAAATAGACCAAGTCTGCAAATTCTAACCAAAGTTTGGATCATAATTTTATGGAATATTTGGCTTCGAGAGATGGCAAAGGATATGAAAGAGAAAACTCTGTTCCTACTTCAACATCAGTTAGAACTTAGAACCTTGTAGTAACAATATGCAAAAATATATCGCATGAAAAATTATTGAAGATTTCGGCACAAAGTCAGTCCCTTTTATATTTATGTATTAACTTGCAAAAACAAGATTCATCTAAACTATTTATCTGAGAGAGAAATAGTTGTACAGAAGAACGAAGAAGATGTTCGGGTATCAATGTACAAGGCTGCATTGGTAAGACATTTCTCTCTGAATCAGTTCTCACATGTTAGCTGTGGTTTCTTTGATTTCCTCTGATGTAATAGTCTGCACGAAACAGAGAAGAGAAATAAGATCTAAGTTGCTTCAAACCAGTAATCGTAAGCTGAAAATGAAGACAGAACCTCAAGCCTGTTATTAGGGAAAGTAAATTGATTTCAGGTTTACCTGATCCTTCCCGGCGAAATCATTGTCAGGAGTCAAGAACAGCATACAATGGCACTCCTTCCTGATGAACGAAGGATAGAACTTTGGTATTATTACAAAGAGTTGTTAGCAGATGCAAAATTTATCGACTCTACTACCCGAAACAAGTCTTATCTAAGCACCAAGGACATCTGAAATTAGTTATGTACCAGAATTTGGTCAAATGAGCCAAATAAGCCAACAATGTACGAGAGAGAGCTAAAGATTTTTGTTTGGAAATTGTTGCTAACTATGGAGTGAAGCAATCTGGTATATACATCCTCTGCATCAATCTTGATACAGTGAGGAGCTTCGGTAACCTCTATGGAAAGCATAACGTGCGTGTGCTGCTAAATACTATCCAATCAATAACCATAACCAAGTAGGAGAGAAGCCAGCTAATAACATGAACGAGTTCTACTTATATAACAACACACACAAACAACAATGCTTATGCAGCCACATGGAGCTACTTCTTACCTCTCTCTCATTGGAACACACGGACAATTCCAAAAGCCCTGTCCAACCTCAGCAGCTTTATCATCATAATGTCTGCACGAAAAAAAAGAATCAGACTTTGGGTTGATACAAGAATTTCAAATAATTCTTAGAAATAACGATATCGCGGAAGCGAAGAACACCTGCAGGGGCAAAGCGGTGCACCATGTGAATCTTTATGCTCAGCCAAACCCTGTTCCAAAACAGTTACACAATTTAACACTAGATCTTCACTTGCAGTAACTCAATTTCTTCTGCAGATTCATTATCTACACGTAGAAGACTCAGCCAGTTCATTAGCTTAACAGTAGAAGTAACTCAAAGATTTTTAATTCAATTTCTTCTGCAGACTCGTTATCTATACAAGTACAAGGACTCGGCTACTTCATTAGTAAAGCACTAAATCTCAAGATGTTCACTTGAACCTACTCAATTGATTATCTATAAGTAGAAGACACAAATTATCCACAAGTTTAATCATTTATCCAGAAACATAGAATCTTTAAACAGAGACCACCAATATATTCATTAGTCAACACAAATCTTTCAGAAATTTGAAAAAAAATTTGGTTAATATCATACCTTAATCACGACTGAAGTAACTCCTTTATCAACACAGAAGTAAGTCCCTGAGCGACGAGCATATTGCTCGGAGAATTTCCTCATAATCTCCACCGATTTCTCCGATGGTTCCGCTGCAATAAAAACAACAAGAAGATGAATCCGGAACCAAACTCAGATCACGAAGAACAAATCAGGGGACTGAAACTTTACATTTCGCTCGGATTACAAATCGCCGAAACGAAGTTCTGGGAGAGACAAGTGGAACAGAAACGAAGCCGAAGCTACAAGAAACAGCTTGAAGATTCATGGCAAAAGTTCGAGAAAACACAGAAGCGAGAGTTTCGTGGGATTTCAATCTACGACGCGAAGTTTCTACTCTTTACTTTTTTTGTTTTCTTGAATTCTTCTGATTCTAGCTTTAGATCGAATTTCAGATTTTTTCTGTTCTTTTTCCAGATATTTGCCAGTAATCAATACTCGCCACTCACTAGACTTCACCTTTGGCCATAAACCTCTAACTGCGACAGAGACTCTCAGCCATTGATAAATCTCATCCCGTACCGGAGATAACCAGAGTTTGAGCTAACCTGGACATTTGGTTTTCGGTTCGATTCAATTAAAAAAAGGGATTAAGAGCGGTCAGGACTCTGGAGAATGTACAGTTCACCTTTGGCCAAAACCTAAGCGGTACAATTGCTGCTAAATCTGATCATTTAACCGGAAAGAATTAGAGTTAGAGCTCCGGTTCACACCTGTTTGAAGTGTTAACCTGGACATTTATTTCCTCGGTTCGATTCGGTTAAGACTATTAGTTTTTTAATAAACAGATCGGAATTTGAACCGGATTTTCCTGAAACGGTTAAGAAAATGTAGAGTTCACTAGGCCTGGGCTTAAAAACCGACCCGAGAGGATCCGAACCGACCCGACCCGAAAAACGCAGTTTGGTTCGGTTTCGGTTCCTTCACTAAAACCGAATGGTTCCAAATTTAATTTGCATCGGTTCTCGGTTCGTGTCGGATTGGACCCGAGACCCATTTGGGAACCCGAAAACCCAAAATTAACAAGCTAATATAAGTTTTAGAGAATTAATTATGTGTATAATGTTGTTTATGTAATTGTTGTTACATAAGTATGTAATTATTGCCAATTTTGGATCGGATATTATCTAAAATGCTTCTTTCTCTCTCTCACTTTTTGACATTTCTTCAATTTTTTCCTGTAAATAGCAAAAAAAAAACGCTGGAAGACCTAAGTCGATTTCTCAGCCGCCGGTCACCACCTTCGACTTCGACACCTTCAAAGCGAATCCCAGAAACAACTTCATCAAGAAATCAATCACAGGTATGGTTCATCGAGAACTCAATCACATCGACAATCATCATCTTTATCTTTTCGTTTTCATTTGAGGATTAGGGTTTGATTTGACCGAGTAGATATTATAAATGCAGATGGGTTCTTCATCGCCTCACCCAAGTGATTACGAACCTGAAGATGGAGGAGATGAATTCGAGACTACTGCTCCTGCACCTGCAACTGGAAAGCGGAAAGGAAATGCATCTGAAGGAAGCTCTCTTCCATCAAAGAAGAAGAAGAAAACCACGACCCCAAGGTCGGTAGTCTGGAAACACTACACGAGAACTGAACAGGATGAAGATAAGTGCAACTGCAATTACTGTGGCAAGGAAATGTGCTGCAAAACATCATCTGGGACTACAAGCTTGAATAAACATCTCCGCTGTTGCAAGGCATTCAACACATGGAATGAGACCAACTCTCAATGCCAGCATACTTTAAATCAGGAAGGGGAGCAAGGGCAGTTGAAGCTATCGAAAGTTTCTGAAGCAGTTTTCCATGAAGCCTGTAACGAGATGTTGGTTTTGGGAGAATTGCCTCTAGCATTCATAGAGAGTTTGGCTTTCAGACATTTCTGCGCAAGGCTTAACCTTCACCAGCCACATTCTAGAAGACAAGCAACTCGTGACATTGTGGAAATGTTTGTCAAGAGAAAAGCTGCGATGATGATGATTCTAAAGGGTACTAAGCAACGGCTATCCTTGACAATAGACATCTGGGTTGCTCCAACGACGGCTGCATCTTATATGGTGATCACTGCACACTACATTGATGCATTTTGGAAGCTGAGGAAGCTAATTATTGGGTTTAGGAATGTCACAGACCATAAGAGAAAGACTATATCTGCTGTTCTGATGGAGGTTTTGGCTGAGTGGGATATAAAGAGATTGTTCACCATCACGGTGGACAATGCCACTGCTAATACATCAACTTTGAGGAGATTCAAAGAGGCATTTACTCGGGCAGGAGGTGAGTTGGTTTTAGGAGGAGAGTTTATGCATCTTCGATGCTCTGCTCATATCATTAATCTAGTTGTGAAGGATGGTTTGTATGAAGTGGATAAGGCCGTGACTTCTATTCGGAATGCTGTGTCTTATGTAAGAGCATCAACAAACAGAGTGAAGGCATTTGATTCTAGAGTTGAGTCACAGAAGATGACAAGAGGAAGTTTAAGTCTGGACTGTAAGACAAGATGGAACTCAACGTACCTGATGCTATTGAGAGCTTCTAAGTTCAAGACTACTTTCATCAAAATGGCTGAAGAAGACAAGTTGTATACTGACCATTTTCAAGAAAAGGTCGATGGGACTAAACGGATTGGGCCACCTACACCAGCTGATTGGGAGTCCGTGGCAAGGTTAGTGAGGTTTCTCATCATTTTTTACAAGTCTACTCTGGTGGTTTCTGTTTCTACTTCTGTCAATTCTTACAAGTGTTACAATGAGATGTAACTATTGAAAGAAATCTCATTAAGCTGAGTACTGATACTGATGAAGCACTAAGGAAAAAAGCCACTGCTATGAGATATAAATTTGATAAGTATTGGGAAGGAACCAAGAAAATCAATAGGCTGTTGATAGTTGCGAGCATTTTGGATTCGAGAAACAAAATGAAGTTTGCGGATATGTGCTATGATATGCTTTACGGTAAGGACAGCATGGAAGCTAAGGGACTTCATGATGCAGTCATAGAGGTTATGAAGAGGTTATTTGAAGAGTATAATTCTGCTATGGTCCTACCTGTGAATGCTACATCTTCTCAGTCTGTAGCATCTTCGTCTCAGACTCAGAACCATTCTACACAAGAGTCTGAAGAGCAGGTTGAAGGCGATCTAGACTTAGAGGAAGAGCTCGGGTATGAAAGAATGGACTCTTTGTACAAAGAGATGGCAAGTGAAATCGGGTTTCAGGATGCAAGTAACGAGCTGGAGTTATATCTGAAGGAGAGAACAGAGAATCCGAAAACAACTATGGCCGGTGTAGAATATGATGTGTTAGGTTGGTGGCGTCTCAACATTCAGAAGTATCCAGTCTTATCTGAGATTGCAAGGGACGTTCTGGCAATGCAAGTTACTTCGGTTGCTTCTGAGTCTGCTTTCAGCACAAGTAACCAAATTTTAAATCCTTCTAGAAGTTGCTTAACACACTATATGATAGAAGTTTTAATGTGCACTGAGCAATGGATGAAGACTGATAGTCACTTGAATGAGAAGGGAGTTGTTATTACAAAAGAGCAATTGCTTGCTGAGATTGAAATGCAGGATAAACTACAGAGAGGTAAACCTTAGCTTCTAGTTTGTTTTTTTATAGTTGTTTGTGCTTCTGGTTTTACGTTTTAACATTAGCTTCGTTAATTTATGTTAGAGTTCGACTTTGGTCGTGTAACTGAAGGCTGAATTCCTCATCTGCGATTAGGTATGTATGACACTATCCCCACTTATTTCTATCTTGTAATAGTCTTCTCAGTTTTGAGCTTCCGAGTTTGTCAAGTTTTGACTGATGAGATTTGAGAACGTGTGATTTTTGCAGAACAAGGAGTAGGCGTAGCAGTAGACAACTTAGAGAAGGAGTGAAGAGGCTGAAAGTCTGAGAGCACACAGTGAGACACTGAGTCTGGTTTTCTTTTTGGTTGTGTTCTTTGTGTTCATTTAGACTCTCTTACTTGCCTCTAAAGTGTTTTTTGGATTGCTTTTGGAACTTGGAAATGTGCTGCAAAACATTTTGTTGTCTAAGTCTACTCTTGTTTTGGAGTTAGAGTTATATAAGTTCTAAACTCTGCATATTGGTTTTGTTGTGCTTAAACACTTTCATTTGGAATGTAAGCTACATAGTTTTTTGTTTTACTCTTTATATTTTGACATTTCAAGTACACTTTTTCGGGTTTTCGGGTCTAATCCGAAACCGATCGGACCCGAAAATTTTTTTGGTTCCTGTTCGGTTTTTTTTTTAAATTCAATAATCGACCTGAATCCGAAAAGAACCGACCCGAACCGAACCAAATTACACACTAGAGCCGAACTGGTCCAATTCCTCTAGACCCAAAAACCCTGAAACCCGAAAAATCAGACCCAACCCGAACCAAGGACCCGAAGGCCCAGGACTAGAGTTCACCTTTGGCCAAGACCTACAGTTAACCACTTAGCTGATAAGCTCATACTCAAACCAAAAATAACTGAAGATCAGAATCTGTTAAAACTTGTTTCAGTATTCACAGATAAAATGATGAATCAATCAAAGCTTGAATATGATTTGTGGTCATTTATGAACATTTTGTTCTTTACTTTTATGTCCAAAGGAAAGGTAAACAACAGTTATGTACAGAAGAGTTGAACAAACATTATTGTGTTGCAAATATACAAGTTTCATGCTTTCACCGTTTGCTCAAACTCCGATGATATTTTCATAAAAAGGAAGCGACTTTGATCCTGAAAAATCATTCAAAAACTATATGATTAAACTGCTAAAAACAAAATCTAGTTATAACATATATTCAGTTTCTCAGAGGTTACCGATGTTTTTTTCAAAAGGGTTCACGCATTGGTACTTACGCCTTGTAACGAAGGTATTCATCTACAGTGATAGGTTTAGCTCCACCATACCAATTGATCAGAAATATATTGATGATCTCGAGTTTGAAGACGCGGAAATCATGACCCTTTGGCCAATCTGCAACAAAAAGAAAAACCGGTATATATATAAACGATACACAGTAATACAATTATCATGAACTTTGTACCCATCATCTCTGGATGCTTAGTGAAAAGAGCTTTTTTGGCCACTTTTTCTTCCTCAGATCCTTCATTCACTTGCAACAACTGAGACATTATAAGATAAAGACCGAAGCATATGTAAGAAAATCTTGTTAGCTTAAAGAGAAAATCTTGGTTTTTTGCAAGACATTTACCTTTCCGGTGAGGGTTAATTTAGAGCAAGTAGGGTCCATTGGATCTCTCTTACAAGTTCCAATGGGAGATTCACTGATTGCAAATGAAGCTCTCGAGTCTTTTAATGCGTTTCTAGAGGTTGGATCAAGAGTTGTCAAGTAAAAGTAAGGCACACCGTTGCCTTTCCCGGGCAAACCATCACTATATGATACAACGTTCCTGCAAAGCAAGTTAAAAAAGAGACCAATATCTTGTTAATCTTTAGCTATAATGGAGAAGACTATATGATCATATCTTGGGACTATACTGCAATTTTGGTGATCAAGAGTTGTGATTTGATTCATGGAAACAAGATTACCCGAAAGGTGCTCCTTCATGCTCAATGGACAATGTGCTGCAAGAAGAATAAAATCACCAAAACCAATTAGTAATCCACCATTGATGTCGACAAGATTGCAGAAATTTTAATAACACAGACACTTTCACTCATAAAGACGAATCAAACAGAGAGCAGTTGATAAGTTTTCTGGTTTTTGTACTCATCAAATCCCAAAACAATTTCAATTCCTAAAGGATCAATCTTGATGAAGTTAATCCATAGCAAAACATCGCTCATCGATGCTATCTATTATCAGTGACTGAATTCAAATCGTCCTGCTACTTGATTTGTTGTCGGATCCCAAATCAATTTCATTTTCAAAAGGATCAAAGCTATTAGGAACCCAACAACGTTCGTCGACACTATCATCAACAAACAGATTCAATCTGCTACAAAGCAACGAACTTTCTGTAATAATTAGTCCTAAATTAGTCCTGATAGATAATTGAAAGAGACCCAAATCAATAAACTCAAATCCCAATACTGCGTCACCCTAAAAAACTGAAATTTATACTGTAAGAAACTCTAGAATCACGAGTTCTTGCTCTTGCTCTGTTCAAGACAAAACCGAAAAAGTTAAAATACCTTAGGACACCCCAAATATTCTGAGAGACAAGCCAACGAGCGCTTGCGGCAACGTCATGCCTATCAGGCTTGGCGATACTCAGAATCCGAGCAGCAGAAGAATTTTCAAGAACTGTCAAGAGGAGGAAGAAGAAGATGATGATCTGACGAAGACGGACTTGAAGTTCCATGCTTTTGAGTTTTGCGATGATGACCAAACTGAGTAAAGACGAGTAAACAAATAGGAAAACAAAAAAACAAAAGTCAACTTCACCAGTCCCAAGATGGGGATTTCGCTTTAAATTGGTTATTATCTCTTATCTTCTTCGGAGTATCTTTTCTTCTTGTATGTAAAAAAAAAGAAGAAGCAGAACTTATCTATAAAGCAAAAGTTTGTAACGCTAAATCTCCATACGCCATTAGAAGATGATCTTGTCAAGCTCTTAGGAGAAAGATAATTCCGATATTTTGATTGATTGATTACAAAACAAAAGAGAGTAAATTATGGGCCATGGCCCAATATTTTAATAAAATATTGGGTTTATTTCGTAAATATAGTTAATTATGAGGACTTAGATTATAAATTTGCAAAGCAGCCCAAGGTCCAAAAACTCTTTTCTCTTGTGATTTCTCACAATCTGATCCTCGAAAATTGATTACTCCTCTTCGCCGTCGTGTCTCCGCCGTGATGAAAAACGGAAAACTCATTAACTGGGCGGAGCTGCCGTCGGATTTGATCTCTTCGATTCTGGTCCGTCTTAGCGTGGCGGAGAGACTGCAAAACGCTGGGAACGTGTGCAGATCGTGGCGACGCGCCTGCCAAGAGCCTTCGATTTGGCTGAGAATCGACGTGTCTCGATTCCCGAGAAACATCGATGAAGCCATGTGCCGTCGCGCCGTTGATCTAAGCCAGGGCGGCTTGCTTGAGATCAACATTGAGGATTTCGGCACCGATTCTCTCCTCACCTACATCGCCGACAGGTTCTCTCTAAACCCTAAAAAAATCTCCACTCGATTTCGATTATCATAAGGAAATTGCAATTATTGAATGTCTTTGGTCTGAGATTATTGAATTTTGATTTCGATTATTGAATGTCTTTGGTATGAGATTATTGAATTTTGATCTCGACTATTGCGAGAAATTTTGCTAATTCTAGGGTTTTCGTCAGATTCTTATACGTCTATTGATTCATGATTTAGATGCAAACTGTTTGTTTGTAGACACGCAATTACCTCGACTTAATTTCGATTATTGTAAGGAATTGCAATTTCTAGGTTCTTAATTAGAGGTTCTAGATCATGATGTGGACATGTGGTATAACTTAACTAATTGTTTGTAGATCAAGTAATGTGAAACGCCATTGGACTTGATTTCGATTTATTGTAAGGAATTGCAATTTTTAGGGTTTTTCAGCAGATCTTATTGTTGTCCTTATTAACTTTAGATGCAAACTACAGTATACAGTATATGTTTGTAGATCAAGTAATGTGAAACGCCATTGGACTTGATTTCGATTATTGTAAGGAATTGCAAGTTCTAGGGTTTTGTCATCAGATCTTATTGTTGTTGTTCTTATTAACCCATTAACTTTAAATGTGTTGTAGATCAAGAAATCTGAAACGCCTTGGACTTGTAAACGTCAATCAAATAACGGGAATGGGAATTTCAAAAGCAGCCATGAAACTACCATTGCTTGAATACCTCGAGGTTACGAATCCGTATACGGAAGAACTGGATTTGAGAGGTCTAGGCCTCTCTTGCCCAAACCTCAAGACATTGAAGCTAAACAATATGGGTTGCGTCTTCAACTTGAGCAACGAGTGTGACGATGATGCTTTAGCAATCGCTGAAACAATGCCCGGTTTACGACACCTCCAGCTTACCAAGAACCGGTTATCAAACGCCGGTGTTAACGCCATTCTTGAGAACTGTCCTCGCCTGGAACGCTTTGATTTACACAGATGCATCTTCGTCAACCTTGTCCCAGCATCTGCAGAATCAAATGTTATGAGAGGATCAAAGGTTTTCTAATATATATCTCTCTCTCTCAGGCAAGGATTTATGTTTGTGTTATAAGAATGCTTTAGAGAAGCCTGAAATTGAATAAACAACATATATTATACTTCTTCTTGGTGAATTTATAATGATTATCAAAGGTTTTACATGTCCTTGGGACAAAATGCAAAGCAAAGCGCTTGGGCTATCCCTTTTGGATGATCTTTTGCTCGTTGAATGAATGTTAAATTTGGTATGGATACACGATGGATGCATGCGTGATTGATCTTGCTCGATCATGCCACCTACACATTGATTTGAAACACAAACCAAACTTTGACGATGGAAACAAATTGAAATAAAGAGACGTTTATTTATAGATGTGAGGAAAGACGTATAACGTACATTCATACAGAGCGAAGAGTGAGAGCATGACTATGCAGAATTGCAGATTAGACGTATATGTGTTGATTTCATGGGTCATGGGTCGACTGTTTTGTAGAGATGTGTGATGTATCTTAATTTCTTATTGAGTTATATACAGTATATCATAAGATATATATACATTAAATATAACATATAAAAATGGTGGCAAAGAGAGTAAAACCTAGTTCATTTTGTTTATTTAGTTCATTTCACATTTGCATTTTGTTGATGATATTACATTCTTTCTTACAAAATGTTATATGGTGAATCGATCTTCTCTTTTTTTCTAATATATATATAGTTATCTCTCATGCAATGATTTATGTTTGTGCGATAATAATGCTTTAGAAAAGCCTGAAACTGAATAAACAAAATACATTAAACTTTTGTGTATTTATGATTATCAACAGTTCTACATTTCCTTTGGACAAAATGCAAAGCAAAGCGCTTGGGCTGTCCCTTTTGGATGTTCGCTTTCTCTCCAACAAAACCCTGTTTTCCTCCTATTAACTTGGAGCAGCACCAACAGTCAGGGCTCGTTGAGTAAATGTTGCATTCGGTATGGATACACGATGGATTCATGCGTGATTGATCTTGCTCGATCATGCGACCTACACATTGATTTGAAACACAGAGTAAACTTTGACGATGGAAAAATAAAAACAAAGAGACGTTTATTTATAGATATGAGGAAAGACGTATACGTACATTCATGCAGAGCGAAGAGAGAGATCATGACTACGCAGATTAAAACTATATGTGATGATTTCATGGCTCGACTGTCTTGTAGTGATGTGTTATGATTCTGAAAGGTTGTAATGTGTTGTGTGTTATTGATTAAGAGTACAAGATATATACAAGAGATATATACAAGAGGAGAATACACAATTAAGGAAACAGAGATATGATACAATAAGTAAGAGAGATCACAGGGAATGATTCACGATAGTCAAATCTTCATCTTTTTACATGTGAATCACTAATAGATTCTTCTTGTCTTATTTAGTTCGGGTAATTTTTTACATGTGTGTGTATGTAATATGTATGTATGAGCCATGAGGAAAGACTAAACTTACATTCATGCAGAGGGATGAGTAACATCATGGCTATGCAGATTCGAGCTATATTTGATGATTTCATGGTTCGGCTGTCTTGTAGGGATGTGTTATGATGATTCTTGTTGTTTTATCGAGTTCTTACAATTTTTACGTACATACAAAAGTTAATTATAAATAGTATAGACAGTAATTTGAGATCAAATAATATCTTTTGGTTTTCAAGATTTCAGTCAATATTCAAATATCTCGATCAATAAAAAAGAAAAAAAAAATTATGGTTGCAATTTGTTTCAAGAATAGTACAGAATTTAATTAACTTCCAACTATTTAAATCTAGGAAACCGTTTAATGTAAATATTCATAAGAGAAAAATTAAAACTTAAACCAAAACCATTAGAATTGGTGTAGTTTCATTGAGAAAAAGATGTTAAGACATGTTTTGCTTATAATCGGCTGGATATGGTTGGGATGACAATTTGTGAAGAAGAAAAGAGGGATAAGCTATCGGAGAATTGGAGTTGAAGATAGTATCAGTGCATTGTCAGACGATTTGCTCGTGCAGTATTTTGTCATTGGTTCCAAAAAATGATGCAGTATTTTTGTCATTGGTTCCAACAAATGATGCAGTGGCTACCATGATTTTGTCAAAACGAAAGCAGTATATTTGGATGATGGTGCCACAATTCGAGTACAAAGAGATCAAAAATAGTACTCACGAACGATTTCTTGCCGGTTTACTTGGCTGTTTAATAGGCTAAAATAGTAAGCAACCATGGTCAATTTGGCGGTTTCTTAACGAGTCATGGCAACTCCACAAGCAAGGCCTTGCCCATGTTAAGAAAATGGAAACACTCACCTACAGGCCTTTATATATTTTTCTGGATATATTTTGAAATCGGAATTTAGTTATAGTGATAAAGAAATTCTAAACTATTTGACATAAATCCAATTCAACATATTTTAAACACGCTTTTTTTAATGAAGTTTCGTTAATTAGAAGATCTTTGTGACTCTATATGTGAAGCTTATTATAATAATTCATTCTAATAGTATATCATAATTAAAGAAATCAAAACAAAATAATAATATTTTCAAAATGTATTTCTTAAAAATAGAAAATAAATATTATCAACAAAATATTGTATGATAAGAGACTTTGTTTTCAGTCAAGAAGAACTTTTTACACAGATAATGTTAGATGCTTAAAAATAAAGAAAGGATCTATTTTCATTTTCTTTAAAAAAAAGTTTGCATGTTGTTCTCTATACAAAATTAAATATTACTCACTCCAATTCAGTTTATAGATTATTTCAGAATCAATTTATTATTCCAATTAAGTGTTGTTTTTGATATTCAGTGCAAAATTTTAGACAAATTTTCATTTGTTTAACTTTATTATTGTAATATATTAATAATAGGGAGAAATTATGTGCTGGCGAACTTAATCGTATTAAGGAGTACATCATTTTCAATGTCAAAGCTTCAATATGGAAATAGTTTGCGGCTCGGATAACTTCAAAAAGTTTTGGTCGATTAAGACGAATGTTCTTAATTCTTGAAACTAGAATCCCACTTTTTGAGCCGTTCTCCACTAGCAAAGGTGGAGAAAGAAAATTATGTAATTTATAAATTAATATAGAATATAATAAAAGTATATCTATTTTAAAAAAAATTGTGTGAAACAATTCTAAACGACTTATAAAGTAAAACAGAGAGAGTGATAATCAAAATATTCTTAACTAATATGATAATACTAAATTGTTTTTGCACTAAAAATGTATAAAAAAATTATTTAAATTACAGTGGTGTTGAATATTAATTTGAGTTAGATTTTATTATGATTACTTAGGGTCTATGAAATGCTAAAAACAGTTTTGTCCACAAAGCACTTATATTAGAAAGATTAGATATAGAACTTGGTTAACATCTTCTTATTGATGCTAATGAGGGAAAGTGGATTGCAAATGAGGTTGAACATAGGGTTAGTGAACTAGAGTTCGATCTCATGTGGTCTGGGAGCCTACTAGCTTGCCCAAGAGCCTTTATATTTTCAATATGTTTGTGTTTTTCCAACAAATGTTTTGTAGATGTTTCTTCTCCAGTTTGCCTCACACTCCTCAAAAATCTTAGCATTGTTTCTGTGCTATATAAAGATGAAGATTCTCTTGTTCCTATTCCCAAATATTTGAAAGTGATGCGACACCAAGACAAGGTGACAACGTTTAGTGTAAAAGTGCCATCTCTAGAGACCTTAGTGTATGATTATTTGGAACTAAGAGTACTCAATGGAGAAGATGTACAAGATATTGGAAGATCTCTGATCATAAATTCTGTGCTTTTAAAGGAATTCAATATCTTTGATACTTCGGCTGACTCCCACTCGATTGTGAACAAGCTTCATCTTGATAAAGCAACTATCTACGTTCATATCAATCTTGATGACAAATTTATGAGATCTCTTTCCTCAGTCAGATACATTATCTTTGCAAACTTTAAGAGTTTAAAGAGAGCTAAAGTCTCGATGAAACCAAGCTGCAGCCGTAAACATGGAAAGAAGGTAATGGAAGAGTTAAATTCCATGTTGAAGTTCTCAACATTGTTCCACTCGGTTGAAGTTTGCCACTAATCTTATATCAAATGATCATATCTACCATTAGTCAAGCTCTATCATTCATAGCTTTTTGTTTCTATAAAAGATCATGAAGACGTTGTTTGATATTAATGGACAGACTTTGGTTATATAAGATTGAATTTGTTTTTAAGAAGTTTTTTTTTTATCAATTTAATTAAGTTTTACCTTACATAAGATTTAAAAATTTTTTTTGGAATCTTTATTCTAGAGGAAATGTTTGTCAGTTTTTTGAGTAGATAGTGATCAATTTCGAATTTATAATGGCAAATTACAAAAAGTTATTTTTAAATAGCTAAAACAGTATTTTTAATTTGGAATCTAATAATTATATGGTTTATATTTATTTGGTTGTAATTTTTGGATAATTATATTATAGGTACTTTTAATTTAAGATCTAATTATACTGTTCATATTTATCCGAATTATCAGTTAAAATATTTTATATTTGTCTGAATTTAGTAGCCTCAGCAGATTGACATATTATTTTTTTTTTTAAAAAAATTATAACGAAATGAAAACAAATAAAAAATAGTTTTTAATGCATATATTTTATCCTGTTACAATTTTTTATAGAAACAAAATTCATCTAACGGTTCAGATTCATTCTCATATTAATCCAAGGGTTGTGATTTTTTATCATAAAAGAAAAATTTCTCTCTGACGAAGCTTCAAGTTCACTCGATTTTCCTCAGCCACCATAGCTTCTTTTTTTTTCCGTCCGTCGCCGTCTTCATTTCCGATCAGAAGTATACCTTCTCTTTCCGATCGGAACCCGCTCACTACACCCATAAGGTCAGAATCATCAATTTACTTGTGCGATTTGGTATTTCGAAATTTGGTGTTTTGATTAGTCAAAGATCATAAATTTCGCAATTACGATTCTGAAAAATCGGACCTTTACAATTACATCACTGTCGTTACGTTGAGGAATTGATTGGATTTGAAGGGTTTTTTTCTAACTTGTTATTGGTTATCTTGCGATGATCTTGATCGTTGACCTTTATTGTGCCCTGTTTTTTGAGGAATTTGATTTTTTTCCGTTTATTATTTGTGTTTTGGTGACAAAATTTAGGCTTGTGTAGGTGTTGTAATGGATCCGACAAAAAGAAAAAACTGCCAAAGAATGACAAAGAAAATGAGGAGAGTGGGGAAGTATGAGGTTGGTCGCACGATAGGTGAAGGCACCTTTGCTAAGGTTAAGTTTGCGAGGAACTCAGACACTGGAGAAAATGTAGCCATCAAAATTATGGCTAAGAGTACAATTCTTAAGCACAGGATGGTTGATCAGGTACGTTCTTGAGTGTTAATCTTGTGTGTCGTTTGTTCATGCTCTTGTTTAAGCTCTTCTACTACTTGTGTCTTGTCCAGATAAAAAGAGAGATATCCATAATGAAGATTGTTCGACACCCTAACATAGTGAGGTTGTATGAGGTTTGTATAATGTTCCTTAACATCTGCGAAATTCGTCTCATAAGTTTATTTCTTGCATCATCTTCCATCTGAAGCTGGTTCTTGTGTTGTTGTAGGTTTTGGCAAGTCCTTCAAAAATATATATCGTTTTGGAGTTTGTGACAGGAGGAGAGCTCTTTGATAGAATTGTAAGTAATCTCATACTTGTATACTTGTATTTCCGGTTTAGTTTCGGTTTTTTTCCAATCTTGGATATCTTCTGTTTGCGCAGGTTCATAATGGGAGGCTTGAAGAAAGTGAGGCACGCAAATACTTTCAACAGCTTGTAGATGCTATTGCTCATTGTCACTGCAAGGGTGTTTACCACCGTGACTTAAAAGTGAAGCCAAATATTTCTTCTTTGTTGACTAATTTTCCGTAGAGTTTTCCTCCTTTTTCCATGTGTTGTAATCCAGACTTGATGCCTATGTGTCATTATGATATTCAGCCAGAAAATCTTTTACTCGATATTAATGGAAATCTCAAGGTTTCGGATTTCGGTCTCAGTGCATTGCCTCAGCAAGTAAGTCCTCACATTCTCTGCTTCAGCATTAAAGACTCTTGTTCATTTGATTTCTTTTTATCTGTGGAGAGTTTCTCTCTTCTAGCTTGTTCATTTCTTGTTGTTATATACTGAATCAGGGAGTAGAACTTCTGCGCACCACATGTGGAACTCCGAACTATGTAGCTCCTGAGGTACTTAGTGGCCAAGGTTACGATGGTTCAGCAGCAGATATTTGGTCTTGTGGAGTTATTCTTTTCGTTATAATGGCTGGATTTTTACCCTTCTCTGAGACAGATCTTCCATCATTGTACAGAAAAGTATGTTACACACTTTCCACATGACTTACTGTTTGAATACATGTTGATATTAATGATCAATTCTGTACAGATAAATGCAGCAGAATATTCTTGTCCACCGTGGTTTTCTACAGAAGCGAAGTCTTTGATACATAGGATACTTGACCCCAATCCCAAAACAGTGAGTGCTTTGCTGCTTCGTCTCCGAGCTTTCATGTTTGCTATTATTTAAAAATTTTTTTAGTAATTCTATCTGCTTATCTACGATTGTTTCCCAATTAGAGCAGCGTATTCAAATTCAAGGAATTAGGAAAGACCCTTGGTTCAGATTACATTATGTGCCTACTCGAGCAAAGGAAGAGGAAGAAGTGAATTTGGATGATGTTCGTGCAGTTTTTGATGGAATTGAGGTTGGTCGTTCGTCTTCATTGTATCATATGCTATTTGTTGGTCAAATCCATTTAACTGTTAGGATCTTTTAGGAAGAAGTGCTTTGCTAAAGGATAAACAAACTAGTAGACATGTCATGTGCACCAAAGTTGTGAACTACGATTTTATTCATTTCACCAAAAGCTACACCTTAGGGAGAGTTAGCATAACCAGATTAACACAGTGACTTATCAACAAGTGTCTCTTACTTTTGCTTGTTTAAACACAGATTTGACCAGTCAGTTTCACTTGTTCACAGGGCAGTTATGTAGCGGAGAATATAGAGAGAAAAGAAGAGGGACCCCTGATGATGAACGCCTTTGAGATGATTACCCTATCACAAGGCTTAAACTTATCAGCACTATTTGACCGGCGACAGGTAGTACCTGATTTTCTATTGTTGCTCAGAGAGATCTCCTTATTGAATAAAAGAATCTAAGTAGCATCTAATCTTCATACTAAATGTTTTGGCGTACATATTATGGTGTTAAATTTCGATTCTGTGTTCTAGTTTGTAATAATTATAAGTTCATGAGATCATTAGTTGCATGGCATTATTAAATAGAAATGGAATCCGAAATGTTCCTGCATATTGGTGGCTGATCCGTTGATCTCGCAGGATTTTGTGAAAAGGCAAACCCGTTTTGTTTCTCGAAGGGCGCCTAGTGTGATAATTGCTAATATTGAGGCTGTTGCGACCTCAATGGGTTTTAAGGCTTATACACGCAACTTCAAGGTAACACAAATCCTAGCATATATACTGAATAACTACTATTATGCTTTTCTTCTCAAACTCCGAACTGTAAAACTTATGTTATAGATTGATATGATATGATATTCCCAAGGAAACTTAGTTTATACCTCTTGACGTTCATGAATGGAATATCTAATGTGGAATTTTCATGATTTGTTGCAAATTGTTTCTTAACCATGCACTCTATGTGCTAAACAGACAAGGCTCGAGGGATTGTCTTCAATCAAGGCCGGACCGTTCGCTGTTGTGATAGAGGTGGTTAACGCTTCTTGTGATTCTAATACAAGTCTATATTGAATCTTCAATGAAAGGGCTTCTATTAAGATTACAAATTAACCTTTGAATATGTAGATTTACGAGGTGGCACCATCTCTTTTCATGGTAGACGTTAGAAAGGCTGCTGGTGAAACTCTTGAATATCACAAGGTTTGTGAATACACTTTATATCCAATGAACAGCAGGTAATTTCGTTATATATCTAAGAGAGTGCATCATTTTCTTTGATATTTTGTGGTATCTCGCAGTTCTACAAGAAGTTATGCGCAAAACTGGAAAACATAATATGGAGAGCATCAGAAGGAATGCCAAAATCAGAGCTTTTCAGAACAATCACGTTTTGATCGATCCTCGGCTTCTCATATCAGTCTTGTAAGTAAATGCATGTGGAGAGTACTAACCAGAGAAGAAGCAAAAGATAATCAAGCAGGTGCTCTAATACTCGAATAAACTTATAACACATGAAATGGAACTCGAATAAAGAATGTAGATTCTTATGGTAAATGCCGTAAATAATATATTCTTCACGAAGATCGGAAGATTTGCTTCTATTGTAGTATTCCAAATCTGATTGTCTCTTGTAGTATGCTTTGCCCATTTTTCTTTTTAGTTGAAGGCTTGGTGCCAATAATTCCTTAAGCTCTTTTCCTTGATTATGTTCAACAAGTCTATTAATATCAAAATGAGTTTACATAATCGTTACAGAAACAAGGAAAACAAATTTATTACATAGTAAGCAGTATGTGCACTATACAGTATACTGAAAACGATTTCTCTAGAAACTAAGAAGGAATTTGACGGTTGCCTTCTTATAATCTTACTTGCTAATGAATTATTGCATCTGTTATTTTCTTCTTTTGTAATCGAACTTCTATGAAATTTGTGATTTTTTTTTAAATAAAAACTAGATTTTACCTCGTGCATCCGCACATGAATTTTCTTTTATTCAAAATTTGTAATCTAATTTATGTTTTCTTTATAAACAAAATTTTTAATAAGTGATATAAACCAATTTATGTTTTCTTTATAAATATAAATTTTTAATAAGTGATATAAAAAATTTGTGTTTAAGATTTAATTTTTTTAATTTTTTTTCAGTATTATTATGACCACCATGATCATAAAAATAATTTTAACCCGATTATTTTATTAATAAAAAAATAACCGTTATTATAAAAATATATTTATAACTTGCTCATTTTATTAATCTAAAAAAATCATGATTATGAAACCATAATTCTAACCCGCTTATTTATATTATTTTATAATATAAATATTTACTAATTTTAAAATAATGTTTTCCTAATATCTTACATGCTTCGATAATCTAATTCGCATAATAAAAAAAATTAACTTGTCATATCAAATTAGTATATACTATTAATATTTATCAATTTTCAATATGTGAAATTTTTATCAGATAGAATATGATTAAAAAGATATATTAAAATATTTGTTAATCATGTGTTATTCTGAAAATCTTATTTAAATTTAAAATGTTAAATTAAATCTAACCTATATTTAAGAAAATTTTAGTTATCTAAATTTATATATATTTATAGAATTAAATCTATATTAGTAATTGCGAAGTGAATTCTTCTGTGGTTTAACGCACACTTTTTGATGTCGTTTTGATTAATGAAATTTTGATGATTTGATTGGTTGATAATTGTTATAATTTGATTGGTTGAATTAGTTAATTTTAAATCATTAAAATCGATATTAGTTGCTCTGAAAATGGAAAACTTTTTAAATTTAAGAAAAAAGGGCCTGGACCATAATCTCTTCTCTCGAATAAATTGGCTCAAATTTCAAACCCAAAAAAAAATATACATAGCTTCCAATACGTCGTTTGTGCTGATTGAGATGGTAGCTGTGTTGGTTAAGTGCTTTGTCCATTTATCGAAGGTTCACGGGTTCGAATCCTGTGATTAGTTTTTTTTTTATTTTAACTCGATTTTGTATTTATTAAATATTTTGTAAAAGGGAATATTCCATAATTTCTTTGTTATTATCTAGAATGGAATCTTTACATTTTTATTATTAATAACTACGAAATTCATGGGAAGATAATATCGCATGTAGATCAATACTTACATTTTTGTATTTATCACAAGAAAATAAATCCTAGATTGTTTAGACGTATAAATATGAGCGTTTTCAACCAAACTTCTCATAATTTACGCATTAGTTTTTCTATTAGGGTTCTGTGATTATTTTGCTAGGGTTTTTATAATAGCATTAACTTTTTGGATCTCTTTAGAAAAGATTCAGCATGTTTGTCTATTTGCATGCAAAGCTAACAATGTGTTCGTCTAAGTACAGCTTTGATCATCCATCTAAAGTCATCATCACTTGGGAAGTTCCGTCTACCGATTCTGGTATATATGTATAACTATTATCAAATTTAATAATAGTATGTATGCTCTCAATTTTTTTAGATAAATTCTAAAAATTTATACGACTATAGGTTTTGATAACCAAGCTTATGCTCGCGGGTTAAAGTCTGTGTTGAAATCGCATCGTCAGAATATGGATAACAAAGACATGACTGATTATCGTTACGTGACTCCATACGTTTTCGTGGATATCACCAAAAAAAAAGGTTGTTGAACCTCATTAGGTTATTGATTCAATTTATAATACTTACTAGTAGTTGTTTGTATTTGTAGGTTATCCATGCAAGCTACTTATCGATTCTACTATCGATGAATGGACCTTGCGGACATATAATCCTGTTATCGAAGGTAGTCCTGTCTATTAATCTTACAGTTTTTACCTTTTGTAATGCTATATCTTAGCCTTTCAGATGCATACCCTTATTATATATTAATCTATGAATGTTTTCAATTTTTATGTAGACATTGATTCTTCCTATCATATATCTATTCTTGATCACGAGCTTTTTATCAAAGGAGGTATTTCTGCTCTTAATGTAATATATTTTTGTTAATGGTGTATATTAAGTCTTTATGTTTGTTCTAATGTTTGTTTTTTGCATTTATGTTCTGATCGTGTTAATACGAGTGATCATGCTCAGAAGACTTTTCTATGAGATTTTGCGAGGAATGCTTGGGTTATGAATAAAGAATCTAATGGTTTCAATTCTTTGTTTTTTGTTTTGAACACTGTTTTTTTTTTTAGAATACTAATTACACCGTTTTTACATATATTTATCTATGTAGAAGATAGTGACTCTGATGATACCGAGGTTTTATCGGGTCGTGGTACTGATGATGATTATGGTTTTGAGGATTATATGGGGTCTGATTCAGAGACGGGTGAAGATACTGATGATATGGACCAAACAGATGAGTATGATTCTGAGGATGATTTTATTGACGACGATGAGACTTGTGAAGAATCTGATGGTTCAAGTGATAGCTCAGAAGATGATAGCGGTGATGACGAAGATGAAGATGGTGACGATGCCGATTCAACTGATGATAATGAAAATGATGATGAAGATGTTATGTTGGATGATGATACTGATATTGACGATGATAGTGAAGATCAGCGAAACGTCGAACTGAGTGATATACTCATCGAAAAGAATATTAGTATATCTGGACACCATGATTCGGTGTGTACTTATACAGTTTCTCTTGGTTCAATGTGTTTTGGTAGGTGTGTTTCACGTTTGAGTCCTTCCAAAGATGGTTGTACTATCTTTGTTAAGGTTTTACAAACGTGGGTGCATATGCTAATTTCGAAACGTTCTTCTATGGAGCTCATATTGTCGGATGAACAGGTATTTATTGTACTATTACACAAAAATATTCTAAATTTTTGTCGGTGTCTAATTGACTGTTTTATTCACAGGGTGTAAAAATTCAGGCCACTGTTAGTGATGGTGAGATCAGTGTTGCATCGTCTCGCATAGATGTTGGTAGTTGGATTATTATCAGTCGTTTTTCTGTTATCGATTGTGAGGATAGTTGTAGACCGACTTCTCATAGATACAAAATATTGTTCCTACCATCAACTATCATTGACAAGACTTCACGTAGATGTGAAAATGCCTATTTTGACTTCGTTGATTTTCAAAGGATATTGGATCGTGCCCATGATGATGACTATTTAGTTGGTGTGTTTATTTTTGATTTAGTTATTGAATTTCGTTATTATTATCTTACTGATGTTAACATTGTTTAGTTTTTGTTGTCTATGAAGATTTGATAGGTCGTGTCTTAAATGTAAGACTATCTGGAACGTCCTGTGGTTTACTGACTGGAGAGCATTATTTTCCTTCATATGGCAGTCTATGTAATGATATATGTGATTCCGAGATATGGGGTTCATATTCAACCGTCACGTTCTGTCTTAGAGATAAACGGTACTGTCTGCTGAATGTTTTAAACTGTATAATGTCGTTTTAATTATTCTATCCATCTGAATATGTGTGGCATGTTTTAATTTAGTGGTGTTGATTTGAGTTGTGAATTGTTCGGTGAGATGGCGAAAAACTTTTTTGTATCTTGGAGACACTGTGATCAAGATATCATTGTGTGTGTGCTTAGATGGGCTGTTATTGATTATTTTGGAGGTATTTTTAGTATACTAATTTATATTCTCTATGTTCGTTTCGTTTTATTGTTTTGACTCTGTATTTGTTTTATCAACATAGGCAAGATCACTATATCTTCCACATCTCCTACTAAGTTCGAACTCAATCCCCGTATTCCTGAGTTAGATGAGTTTTTGGAACAGTGAGTTTCTAATACTTAATGTTTGTATTTTGACTTTTTATTATTAATTTGTGGTCGCCTTCTCTCTTAAATTTTTTTTATAACAATGCAGATATCCGCGTAAGAGGCCATGCACGCGTGGTAGTGTGGCACGTCTACATTGAATAGTGTTATAACGTCTACATTGAATATCATTTTAAAAAATGATTTACCATGTATACAAATTATAGTTTAATTATTCTTTGTTCTTCAGACCTCTTTATTTCAATCAGTAAATATATTTTTTTTAATGTAATTATTATTGTTGTTTGATATTGAAGTATAGAAAGCGGAGAAAATAATATAAGTTATATATTCACGTAAATAACGCATGTTTTTATTGGTTTCTTGGACTCCAAGTAACTCATATTTATAAATATTTAAGAGGATTCGAATATATACCCGATCATATCACAACTTTTAATTTTTCCATTTAGTGTCTATGAAAATCATGGTGTTTGAATGGATTAATTTATTGATTTCTTAGTCTCCAAGTAGCTCATATTTAGAAATATCTAATAGGATTCGAATATATCCCCGATTATACCACAACTTTTGTTTTTTTCATTTAGTAGCTATGAAAATCATGGTGTTTGAATGAATTGATTAATTACTTATTAAAAAGGAAAAACTCGGTAGTTGAGAGGTGTATAAAATGTAAATAAAGGAAAACATTCTAAGAAACCCTAGAAAAAAATAAACAAAGCGTAAACCACATAATTCTTATATCTCTATATATATGCATATATTTCGGTATAGGTATATATATGCGTCTATCGCGACTTCACGGGTTATCAGTCTGCATTGTTAGAATTGTTTGCATTCGGGTTCT